TCCAGCAAGCGTGCATGAGCGTGTTAGATAGGAGTGAATGGAGACGAATGGTATTTGGGACCTGACGAGCTGTTGGAGCGTAAGCAGGGTAATATGTAGTGAATGATAAGAAAAATGCAAATGATAAGAAAGAGAAGATTGTGGATGTTATGAATGAGAAGAAACTGGATGTCCTGGCTTTAAGTGAAACAAAGCTGAAGGGGGTGGGAGAGTTTCAATGGAGAGGAATAAATGGGATTAGGTCAGGGGTTTCAAATAGAGTTAGAGCTAAAGAAGGAGTAGCAATAATGTTGAAGGATAAGCTATGGCAGGAAAAGAGGGACTACAAATGTATAAATTCAAGGATTATGTGGAGTAAAATAAAGATTGGATGTGAAAAGTGGGTTATAGTAAGCGTGTACGCACCTGGAGAAGAGAGAATTGTAGAGGAGAGAGAGAGATTCTGGGAAATGTTGAGTGAATGCATGGGGAGTTTTGAATCAAGTGTGAGAGCAATGGTGGTTGGGGATTTCAATGCTAAAGTGGGTAAAAATGTTATGGAGGGAGTAGTATGTAAATTTGGAAGCCAGGGGTTAAATGTAAAATGGGGGAGCCTTTAATTGAGCTATGTGTAGAAAGAAATTTGGTAACAAGTAATACATATTTTATGAAAAAGAGGATAAATAAATATACAAGGTATGATGTAGCACGTAATGAAAGTACACGTAGTTTGTTAGATTATGTATTGGTGGATAAAAGGTTGATGGGTAGGCTCCAGGATGTACATGTTTATAGAGGAGCAACTGATATATCGGATCATTATTTAGTTGTAGCTACAGTTAGAGTAAGAGGTAGATGGGAAAAGAGGAAGGTGGCAACAACAAGTAAGAGGGAGGTGAAAGTGTATAAACTAAGGGAGGAGGAAGTTCGGGCGAGATATAAGCGACTATTGGCAGAAAGGTGGGCTAGTGCAAAGATGAGTAGTGGGGGGGTTGAAGAGGGTTGGAATAATTTTAAAAATGCAGTATTAGAATGTGGGGCAGAAGTTTGTGGTTATAGGAGGGTGGGGGCAGGAGGAAAGAGGAGTGATTGGTGGAATGATGAAGTAAAGGGTGTGATAAAAGAGAAAAAGGTAGCTTACGAGAGGTTTTTACAAAGCAGAAGTGTTATAAGAAGAGCAGAGTATATGGAGAGTAAAAGAAAGGTGAAGAGAGTGGTGAGAGAGTGCAAAAGGAGAGCAGATGAAAGAGTGGGAGAGGCACTGTCAAGAAATTTTAATGAAAATAAGAAAAAATTTTGGAGTGAGTTAAACAAGTTAAGAAAGCCTAGGGAAAGTATGAATTTGTCAGTTAAAAACAGAGTAGGGGAGTTAGTAGATGGGGAGAGGGAGGTATTAGGTAGATGGCGAGAATATTTTGAGGAACTTTTAAATGTTGAGGAAGAAAGGGAGGCGGTAATTTCATGCACTGGCCAGGGAGGTATACCATCTTTTAGGAGTGAAGAAGAGCAGAATGTAAGTGTGGTGGAGGTACATGAGGCATTATGTAGAATGAAAGGGGGTAAAGCAGCTGGAACTGATGAGATCATGACAGAAATGTTAAAAGCAGGGGGGATATAGTGTTGGAGTGGTTGGTACTTTTGTGAATATAATGCAGAGAATTCGTAGTTTGGAAGTTAGGAGGAGGTGCGGGATTACCAAAACTGTTGTCCAGAGGGCTGAGGAAGGGTTGTTGAGGTGGTTCGGACATGTAGAGAGAATGGAGCGAAACAGAATAACTTCAAGATGTATCAGTCTGTAGTGGAAGGAAGGCGGGGTAGGGGTCGGCCTAGGAAGGGTTGGAGGGAGGGGGTAAAGGAGGTTTTGTGTGCGAGGGGCTTGGACTTCCAGCAGGCATGCGTGAGCGTGTTTGATAGGAGTGAATGGAGACAAATGGTTTTTAATACTTGACGTGCTGTTGGAGTGTGAGCAAAGTAACATTTATGAAGGGATTCAGGGAAACCGGCAGGCCGGACTTGAGTTCTGGAGATGGGAAGTACAGTGCCTGCACTCTGAAGGAGGGGTGTTAATGTTGCAGTTTAAAAACTGTAGTGTAAAGCACCCTTCTGGCAAGACAGTGATGGAGTGAATGATGGTGAAAGTTTTTCTTTTTCGGGCCACCCTGCCTTGGTGGGAATCGGCCGGTGTGATAATAAAAAAAAAAAAAAAAAAAAAAAAAAAAAAAAAAAAAAAAAAAATAATAAATAATGAAAGAGGGGAAGGTACCTAGGGATTGGCAGAGAGCATGTATAGTCCCTTTATATAAAGGGAAAGGGGACAAAAGAGATTGTAAAAATTATAGAGGAATAAGTTTACTGAGTATACCAGGAAAAGTATACGGAAGGATTATAATTGAAAGAATTAGAGGTAAGACAGAATGTAGGATTGCGGATGAGCAGGGAGGCTTCAGAGTGGGTAGGGGATGTGTAGATCAAGTGTTTACATTGAAGCATATATGTGAACAGTATTTAGATAAAGGTAGGTTAGTTTTTATTGCATTTATGGATTTAGAAAAGGCATATGATAGAGTGGATAGAGGAGCAATGTGGCAGATGTTGCAAGTATATGGAATAGGTGGTAAGTTACTAAATGCTGTAAAGAGCTTTTATGAGGATAGTGAGGCTCAGGTTAGGGTGTGTAGAAGAGAGGGAGAATACTTCCCGGTAAAAGCAGGTCTTAGACAGGGATGTGTAATGTCACCATGGTTGTTTAATATATTTATAGATGGGGTTGTAAAAGAAGTAAATGCTAGGGTGTTTGGGAGAGGGGTGGGATTAAATTATGGGGAATCAAATTCAAAATGGGAATTGACAGTTACTTTTTGCTGATGATACTGTGCTTATGGGAGATTCTAAAGAAAAATTGCAAAGGTTAGTGGATGAGTTTGAGAATGTGTGTAAAGGTAGAAAGTTGAAAGTGAACATAGAAAAGAGTAAGGTGATGAGGGTATCAAATGATTAAGATAAAGAAAAATTGGATATCAAATTGGGGAGGAGGAGTATGGAAGAAGTGAATATTTTCAGATACTTGGGAGTTGACGTGTCGGCGGATGGATTTATGAAGGATGAGGTTAATCATAGAATTGATGAGGGAAAAAAGGTGAGTGGTGCGTTGAGGTATATGTGGAGTCAGAAAACGTTATCTATGGAGGCAAAGAAGGGAATGTATGAAAGTATAGTAGTACCAACACTCTTGTATGGATGTGAAGCTTGGGTGGTAAATGCAGCAGCGAGGAGATGGTTGGAGGCAGTGGAGATGTCCTATCTAAGGGCAATGTGTGGTGTAAATATTATGCAGAAAATTCGGAGTGTGGAAATTAGGAGAAGGTGCGGAGTTAATAAAAGCATTAGTCACAGGGCAGAAGAGGGGCTGTTGAGGTGGTTTGGTCATTTAGAGAGAATGGATCAAAGTAGAATGACATGGAAAGCATACAAGTCTATAGGGGAAGGAAGGAGGGGTAGGGGTCGTCCTCGAAAGGGTTGGAAAGAGCGGGTAAAGGAGGTTTTGTGGGCTAGGGGCTTGGACTTCCAGCAAGTGTGCATGAGCATGTTAGATAGGAGTGAATGGAGGCAAATGATACTTGGGACCTGACGATCTGTTGGAGTGTGAGCAGGGTAATATTTAGTGAAGGGATTCAGGGAAACCGGTTATGTTCATATAGTCGGACTTGAGTCCTGGAAATGGGAAGTACAATGCCTGCACTTTAAAGGAGGGGTTTGGGATATTGGCAGTTTGGAGGGATATGTTGTGTATCTTTATACGTATATGCTTCTAAGCTGTTGTATTCTGAGCACCTCTGCAAAAGCAGTGATAATGTGTGAGTGTGGTGAAAGTGTTGAATGATGATGAAAGTATTTTCTTTTTGGGGATTTTCTTTCTTTTTTGGGTCACCCTGCCTCGGTGGGAGACGGCCGACTTGTTGAAAAAAAAAAAAAAAAAAAAATTCAGGGAAACTGGCTATTTTTTATATAGCTGGACTTGAGTACTGGAAATGGGAAGCACAATGCCTGCACTTTAAAGGGAGGGGTTTTGGGATATTGGCAGTTTGGAGGGATATGTTGTATTTATACTTATAAGCTTCTAAGCTGTTGTATTCTGGGCACTCTGCAAAACAGTATTATGTATGAGTGAGGTGAAAGTGTTGAATGATGATGAAAGTATTTTCTTTTTTGGGGGGGGATATTTTCTTTCTTTTTGGGTCACCCTGCTTCGGTGGGAGACGGCTGACTTGTTGAAAAAAAAACTAATGATAATAATTGAAAGCAAGAAAACAAAATCTATTGTGCTTCAAATTTATCAGTACATGTTCCACAGTGATGACCAACAACTTGCCTCTAAAAGTCTGAATTAAGATATTGGCATGTCAATATACTGTGTTAAACTTTTTCATCAACCTTTGATGCAGACTCCCTTTGATTTTTTGTCACTGACTGCTTTATAATACAAACTTTATATATTTTCCTTTTAGCACTTCCACTACCTGGCCAATTTGCCTCTTTCTACTAACCCTTGCTGATTCATGATCTTTGACAATATTTTATCTTAGTACATTTTGCCTGCAGTGCTGTATGAATCTTGTGGGCTCAGCACTTAGTTTTGATTTTAATAACAATAATGATAAAAATCTTTTACAGTCTTTATTATTTGCATAAAATATTCATCCATGGAACTTTTAGATCGTGCCATATTTGTATCTGACTTTCAATAATCATTATCATGCTTCTATATTAAAGTACTTTGCACTACTGTATAAACAACTGCAGATAATACCCTAGTTTTCTGAAATATATACAATTGTACATTATAAGAAAAATTAATTAATTAGATTATTAAGCTAAATATAACCAAAATGACTACATATATACATTGAAAAAAATCATGACTAATAAATAATGGCATACCATTCAGTTTACAAAAATAACTAGCAGCCAGGGCAAAAAGGGATATAGCATATGAGATTCAGGAGGAATGATGCTAAAAATAGTATAAGTAGAAAAAGTTATTTACTAGTATAAAATAATTTGAGTGACGAGTGCAAGTATAATAAAGTACTATACAATGTCTGAAATAACATTACACTGCCTATTTTTTACATTCCACTGAGGAGTGCCTGAAATCTATACAAAACTGTATAAAATATTTCTACTACAGTCACAAAACTAATATGCAAAAATCCTACAACTCAACTGTGTTGAACACAGCAAAATTGACATACTGTCTGGCAACATTCAATGTACTGAAGTTAACCACTGCCCAAACTTCCATTTATATATTTAATTTTCATTAATATTTTCTATATACTGCCACTCCCTGTAAGAGGAGCTGTGATGCTACTAAAGACCTTTATACAAGGAATTGGAACTACTACCCTCTCCTTGAGATCAAACATGATTACCATCCATTTCCCTGCCAGTGACCCGTACAGGTTTAGCATCTTCCCATGAATATACCATTATTACATCTTACCACCTGCCTCCACTAAATCTGGGTAGGCCTGCTTTTATGAACTGTACTTATTTCTTCAAGCACCATCCCACATTTTCTTTGGTTTAAATAGTTAGATTATGTCTTCCCCATTAACAATTTTTTTTTTATAATGTATGGTTCTCAATGGGCTTAGAGCATTTTATTTATGGAATAAAGTAAAATATTTCTCACATACTTCCCAAGATTATTTTTTTTTTCTCAACAAGTCGGCCATCTCCCACCAAGGCAGGGTGACCCAAAAAAGAAAGAAAAATCCCCAAGATTATTGTTAAGATTATTATTCTTAAGAAATACTGAACTAGTACACTTTAACTAAATTAAAAACTTTAAATAAAATTCTATAAAAGAATGGCCAAATTAAACGGACTGGTGTTCATGTAATATCATTATATTCATGATGCACACAATCCCAGTATCATTAGCATTCAGGGTTTAAGGTGTGTGAAGTAGTCACAATACCATGATTAGAGCAATTTACTGTGAACTCTAAATTTAGATAATGATCCATCCTAATCAAAGCAAGACTAAGGGAGACAAGCAGAAGAAAAGTCCTGTTAAGAGATTAATTTAGCCTTTTCTTCACATTTTTTGTCTGTCCCCATTTTCTCCTTCAGCTTTGACCTGATGGTCAAGGATGGATCAAAATATTATTGGTTTCCTCTTCAAATTATGGGTTACTAGCTAAATTAAGAAGCATTATTATCCATGGTATGTAGCGAAGTAAGTACAATCAGGAGGCAAACAACACAGCTGGTGATATGTTTTCAATCCATCTGGTCATACAGCACATGGGGAATAGGAGGTAAACAGGTTCAATTCAAGAAGGGGAGGATAGATCCAAATCCTCGTATTAAGAGCCCTCTCACTGGCATGAACTTATCTTTCAGGAGAATGTTATTTAAAGACTCTCAAGAGATACCACTATTGGGTGAAAACCTATATGAAGTTAATATTTTTTTCCTTATATTTGTACCAATAATTAATTTTTTCATAGTTGTGGTAGTCATTCCACATAAATATAAGATTCACTATTAATCTAATTTTGCTAAACTTTATCAGGAAAAAATATACTACACTATTCCCCAAAGGAAGGCCAGTGGAATGCATTTTATCCCTTTTCCTGAACAAACTTAGCCCACATATTCTATATTACAAGTCTGATGGCAATTCCTAAGTCACTGAAGTTATTCCTTACTGGTATATACACAAAAATAATAAAAATCTAATGTTTATACATGTCATTAATTTTGACAGTGCTCTACCATTGATAAAACTACAAGACTTGTGAAATTGTAATGACAGGCGTTCAATTCCTGCCCGTGGTATGGTCTGTTTAAAACTACAAATAGTATATACTGCTGTATATAGATTTTTAGTTGTTTTTACATATTAACCACAACTACAAAGTTGTAATAGTCTAAAGATGAATTTTGTTTTGAAGGTTGGGACATACAGTTCCTGCACTTTGAAAGTTTTGGTAGGGATCATGTGGGCCACCACACTGGAGAACACAGTCTGTGCCCTTCTTGGGAGGCAACTAATATGGCTCACCTTGCCATGACAGGAAATAGCCAATATTTAAAAAACAAAAGAGAAGGCAAGACACTAATGATGCCTTCCAATTATAAAATGACTGGAAGTTGGTTCTACATAGCTCCAGGTAGTAATGGATGGTACAACACCCCACCAGCTATCAAATACAGGGCAGTCATGTTACCATTATTGCAATACTTGCAACACACAAGATGACAAAATACTTGGGCACACAGCTGAAATTATAACCCGACTGCATACTGCCTACTCCTCAAAGGACAAAACCCACTAGCACAATTATCTCGCATTGTAAAATGAGTACTACAATTCAAATGAATACAAATTGCCCTACATAATTTTTTGTATAAACACTTGAAGTTCTTTATATACAGTATTTTAATACTCTTACCCTTGAGTCATCATTTCACTATTTAGAAAAATATACCTTATCACTTCAAATGCATTATCATTGTTGCTGGATTTTCAAGGAATGATTTCCAGAGGTTGGAGAAACGTGCCATTGTTGCTCCATCAATGATGCGGTGGTCTGCTGACCAGCTAACCTGCATTATATGTGCTTTGGTTACATTACCGGCAGCATCGAATCTTGGCAAAGCCTGCAACAGGAAACATTCTGTAGTTCAAATCATTTAAACATACCAAAGGATGAAATTTTCAGTTACACAGCACTAGCAATCTATTGCAGAAAACAGGTCTACTTAAGGTTTAATTTTCAGATAACAAATTGCTAATTTATTAAAATTTTACTATACTGTATATAAAAAAATAAATTTAGCCCTTGAAAAGTAAACTAAAGAGAACCAAAGGGGGCGAATGTAGTGAAGCAAAAGTTTCACTACATTCATAATACAGTACTATAGTTTTATATGCAGCATAGCAGAATACTTTTAAGAAAACACAGAACTGGGGGGAATATGAGTGAAGTGTATAAATGGAAGACAGGAATAAATAAAGGGAACATAAATAAAGAGCTGAAAATATCTAACCAAGCCAGAACTTGCAGCAATGGTGTCAAGGTTGAAAAATTTATACTTAGAAAGGATAAAGGAAAGCACTGGTTTGGTAATAGAGTTGTAGATGAGTGGAACAAGCTCCTGAGTAGTCACTGAAGCAAGAATCTTGGGTAACTTTAAAGATAGGTTAGACGAGTGCATGAGTGGATATGAGTTAGAACTGCCTGGCAGGGACTGGTGGGCCTGCTGTGGTGCTCCACTTTCTTTTAATGTTCTTATGAAATTAACAAAAGACCTACCTGAATCTTGCCAATAGCACCGATAGCAACCTCTGGAGGAAGGATCACAGCCTTGGCATAAGTGCCACCAATCTGGAAGACAAAATTATGCTGTTTAAAAAGTAGACTGCCATGAATTGTTGTAATATTGAAAACATTTTTTGTTAATTTAGTTATCTTTCATGTTCCACAACATGGCAGACCAGTGCAAAAAAAATTTAGCTACCATTGCAAATTATCTACCAAAGCATTCTTGTATGCATACTATACTCCATTTTCTTTTCTCTGTACATCTCCTTTGGTCACTTTTCATATATGGTATACTGCACATATACCTCCTCATTTGCCCCTAGACATTAAGGTAGCTAGCAAATACTGATATACCATGTGAGGCAACTACCAGTGCAACTGTACTACTGATTGCCATCTTGATTAAAAAAAAAAAAAAAAAAAAAAGTCCTCATTAAATGTAACCATGCCTTGGGCATTATCATGGCAACATACTTTTTATAATGCAACCAAATATTTACCAAATAATTAAACAACAGGCAAAAAGCTCCACAAAATGCAGAGCAGAGTTCTATCAAGTTTTCAAGAATTTCAAATTGCTCACTGCACAACCTCCTGACAGTGCAGTGCTAATCAGTAAGTTTAGTACTCTCCCCTACCTCCACACACCCATGCCCCCTTACTCCTATCCTTTATGGCATTCCTCCCTGCAGCACTGTATGACCCTTTTCTGGTTTAGTGCTAAACTTGAGAAAGCCAGCGTGTTGAATAAATAATAATAAAAGGGAGCAAGGGGCTAGTAACCCATTCTGTATAACTACTAAATTTAAAAAGAAAAACTTTTGTTTTTCCTTTTAAATTTAGTAAGTCTTTTTCATTTTTAGAAAAAGTATTTTCTTTTTAGGTCACTCTGCTTTGGTGGGATGCAGCAGGTTCACTGAGGAAAAAAAAATAATTATAGTTAAAATTTTTAATCAGCACAGTGTCACCTAGCAACTGCAGTACTAATAGTTCTTATGGAATATCCAAGAATTTGCTAATAAAAAATTAAAGTGTTTGAAAGTATAATACAGTGGAACCCCGGTTTTCATCTGGTTCGGGTATCATACAATTCAGTTTTCGACCACTTTTCTCGATAAAATTTTCCCCATTTTTGTACATCCACTCGGAAATTGTCCATACCAGACACATCCACTTAATTACTAATGGAATTCTTAAACCTTTGTCCAGTCTAAATCAATCTAAAATTGACTAGTTTGTACAGTTTTATTTCCTCCCTCAACAGGAGAAAGAAACTCAAGCTTACATTAGGTTGTATGTTTAAACAGGTTAGGCAGTCAGTGCTTCAATATCCTGGAAATCCCTCATTACACATGACATGCAAATATGAAAAGAAAGGAAAAAAATAAATTGAACTATGAACCTCATTCAATGGTTCCAGCCCTCTGCCAACATATTCACACTGGGAATAGAATCTCCATACTGTACAGTACAGAATGTATTTTCCTATTAATTTTACTGCATTCACAATAAAGACTAGGTCCAACAATAAACAGTGTCTCACAAGAAGCCAACATAGTCAATACAGTATGTATTACCAAAATAAAAAAATTACTTTTGTAATACTGTAGTAACCTTGGAAAAACTTTAAAACAAATTACTAGGTACCATACTTACTGAACCAATATTAGAGAGCGTGAAGGTGCCACCCGTAATGTCCTGAGTTTTTAGAGCCCCACGTGATCCCAGCTCTTGCAGACGGTTCAGCTCAGCGGCTACTTCAAGCAGTGTGAGGCGCTGCACACCCTTCACATTGGGTACTATCAGTCCTTCACTGGTGTCCATGGCAACACCAATATTGTGACTTGCCTACATAAAAAGTAAATCTGTAATATTTTATTACAATATTGATTTAAATGCTCCATAATAAATATTGCTCCTATTGCCAATAATGCTAGTATAATTAAATATACCCAAAACAGTATTAGGGGTTTTTCAAAAAGTATCATGACCAATTGTAATCTGCCCAAATAACTAAACAATAATGTAGTGTTCAGAAATATATTATGTCATTTTATCAGCAAAAGCATAGCCTGAAAGTATTAATTTGCACTTATAAAATGCTGTAACAACATAATAAATTAAAAACTTTGCAACAGACTAAATACTTTGAAGATGTGACATCAGTGGGCTTAGCTCTCCTCTTGTAGGTAACTGTGCAGTAAATATTTTTGATCTAAGAAGTTTAAGAAAGGTATAAAATACCGACAATATGAAAGTTAAGACACATGTGCAACATCTGGATATCTTTATTGTAGACGTTTCGCCATCCAGTGGCTTTATCAATACAGATTCTAGGACATAATACCTTTCTTGCACAACTTGTCAGACACTGCAACATCATGGAATCTTGGTTCAGAGGACATCTACAAGACCTTCTTCACGGCTGCTGCAACTAACCCATCTCTTTGGGAAGGACCTACTTCCACTGGGGAATCCCGCCTACCAGTGACTGCCCTCGTCTGCTGCCCGTCCCTATCCACTGACGCCTATATAACCGCCAGTCTTCTTGCCTTTGCTCCAGATTCTCCTCCACCACGATGCTGTGAACACTAACTCCAAGGCCGAGGGACTGATTACCTCATCTTTTGTATATAGTTCTACTGTCTTCCTATTATGTCCTAGAATCTGTATTGATAAAGCCACTGGATGGCGAAACGTCTACAATAAAGATATCCAGATGTTGCACATGTGTCTTAACTTTCAAGAAGTTTAAATAGATATTTACTTGAATATTTTACAAAATACAGTAATCAATTATTGTACATCTAATATAAAATTCTTCACAAATATATAAAATAAACCAGCAAAATGTTGAGTTTAAAGAAATTTTAGTTTAATACATAAAAAATAATAAACTCACCTTATATTTTATATTTTCACATTTTTCATCCACTGAAGAATTAAGAACTGGAAAATGAGAAAGGGCTATTGATGCTGCCTTGATGAACACAGGCATGTAGGAGAAGCGAACACCGTGGGCTTGAGCCATAGCCTTCAGTTCTTTACGCATGTTAACCAGAATAGTCATGTCAATCTCGTCACAATAACCAAAGTGGGGAATTTTCTGGGGAATAATTTTTTTTTTGTTAAATTATTAAATACATATCGCTTTAATCTTCCTTAATAACCAAATCAAATATTCACAAATACAGTGGACCCCCGCCTTACAATCAGCTTCCAATGCGACCAATTATGTAAGTGTATTTATGTAAGTGCTTTTGTACGTGTATTTTTGGGGGTCTGAAACGGACTAATCTAATTCACAATATTCCTTATGGGAACAAATTCGTTCGGTAACAGCACCTGAACATACTTCTGGAATGAAATTATATCGTAAGGCGGGGGTCCACTGTACTATATTTAATATAAATTTATTAGCAATAAAATAGATGACCCACACAGAAAACATACAAAATAAACAGTACTGTATTTGTATTCTACATTACCTGAAGAAGCCCTAATACTATAATTTATTAATTTTACCTCTTATAAGTACCAGTTTTGGGAACTCCCTATTACTTTTCACTCATATAGCCTCCTTCCACTTTCTGTGTTTTCAAATTCCTGTTTTCTGTCATCAAAGAACTGTCCTGGTGGCTGAACCAGATTCTTACAACAGATGCCAAGAGCTAATGACCTTCCCTACTTGTCCATTAAGGATTATTTTTGTGTTTACCTTTGTACTTTTGATGAATTTCAAAAGTTTTCTACTCCTAGAGCCCAACCCTGGGTCAGGCTTGTCGTACTTGCCTGGTCAGCCAGGCTGTTGCTACTGTGGCCCACTGGCCCATATGGCCATCAGAGCCTGGTTGATCTTGACTTTTACACATGTTCCAGCAGTGTCTGATATATTCTAGTAAGGTGCTGAGTAGTCTGGGATCTCACACAATAAAATATTTACTTACTGTTCCCACAGCACCCCTCTTTTCACTGGGTTTATTTTACACTTCCTCCCATACCTCTCACTCCAGTGTGTTGTTATGGCAGTGTGCAGATTTGGGTCTAAACCCTCAAATACTTTCCATGTACAGTATATATTATTATGTCAATACTGTACTAATGTACAGTTAAAAGGTAGGCCTACATCAAGAAAGTCTGAATTAGGCCTGTTTGTGCCTCTTAATTGGAAGTGAGGAAAAAAGCTCTTTTGAAGTGTCCTCACGATGTAATGGAAAACTCCTAATTGAAGGAATATGAAGATGAAACAAGAAGAGGACTTTATAATACAAAGGTTAAGTAGATAATATTAAAAAGGTCAAGGATAGAGTTACCAAACTTGTCTTTTTCTAAATGACAACATAAACAAACCCCCATTATATTATTATTATAATTGGAGGAAGCACAAAACCCATAGAGGTCATACAACATGGTAAATGGGAGGTAATCAGGATCAATCCAAGGATGGGGAGAATAGGTTCTCTTCCATGGATCAAGAGCCTGTTGCCAGAATCTATGCTTCTAACCTTGAAAGGCAGAGGCAGAGTTTCATACATTAAGTTCTGGCATCAACATGAATCCCCTTAGGCAACAAGATGTTCAAACCTGTTAAGTATTTTATAGATCAGGCATGTGAACATTTAAATCTGAATGACCAACAGGTAAAATATATTTTTAGTCAAGTGTTGCTTTAGATGCAGATTTAGGAACTTCTACGCTTGGAACCTACTTCAGGAGATTCATGATACCTTCACATACAATATTTAAATTCTGATACATTCAGGCCAAGGATAAATAGTTTACTGGCAACAATAGTAAATAAGAGACACATGATGCAGAACAAGCTTTTATTGGGGAAAATGCTTCACTCTGCAGCGGGCTTTATTGAGTCATGACTTAATAAAGTTCTACACAGAGTAAAGCATTCCAATGAAAGCCTGTTCTACAAAGTGTCTTTTCTTCACATTTAAGTTAGAGGAGACAGTTAAAAGAAAGCATGTCAAGATCAATAACCCCCTCACTGTCTAAGTTTTCTAAGAGGAGTTTCTATACAGCTAAGAGGACCACTAGCAAAGAATATAACAATATTTCCATCTATGACAGCTACACTAACCCAAAACACCTTACTGAAGTCCCTCATATTTAATAAGGTACTGAAGCTTAATCACTTAAGGTTAGAGCTTGATCATCCCAGTCTAATTCTCAGTTCCAAAACAAAACCAATTCTTTGAGAGTTAATTCCCACCTCTAGGATCCCTATTCCATTCACAGGTAGTGAGAGTGATGAATCAGACTTCTTCAACTCTCCAAATACAAAAGGATTCATCTTTCTCTCCTCTATTTGATGGACTTCTGAGATGGTGGTTAATCCCATAAAACCTTTGGGGATCACTTCCCATAAATTTTCTTCTCCAATGATTATACTGAGGACATAAGACTCATGAACAGGCTGAGAGCAGCATAAAAAGCTTAAAATTGGGGCTTTTAGGAGGCAAAACTAATACATGTATATTTCTAGTGAATCATTAATCAATATACAGTAAAAAAAAAAATATGAAAAATAATGTTATTTACCATGGCATGGGTCATGCTCCTAACCATAGCCTTTTGGAAGCCTGTGATAGTTTCATCCTTGTCCTCTCCTAAGAAGACTGGTATGGAAGGTGGCAGAGTGGGTGGGGCTTGCAAAGCTGGGGTGGGTGCTGCTGTCTGTCCTGCAGATTATTGTTAATATAATCATGTGGAAAGTGATGAACCTGTAGGGCCATACAATGCCTGGGAAATGGGAGGTAATTAGGATGGAACATGGAAAGGGAAGGTAACTAATTATTTGGAAAAAGAGAACTTCACTACCAAGGAGATGACACCTTGAAGGATTGTCAAGTAGAGATGACATATTTACTAAAAAAAATATACACAATAGTATCAACTACAAAGAAAGTGTTTTACAATGGTGATAGCAAAGCAAACTTGTCAAACTTTGTTGATAAATCTTTCAAGTGATAGTAGATATAAAGGCATACCTGTAAGTTACTTTCTCCATCTACAAGAATACATAATCAGTTGACACCAAACAAAACAAATTTTAAACACATTGGCTGCCTCCCACCGAAGTAGGGCTACCACTCCCCCCTCAAAAAAAAAAAAAATAATTTATGCAATAGGTGTCTTGCCAGAAGTGTGAAGACATCACAATATTTTTTTTTTTTAACAAGTCTCCCACCGAGGCAGGGTGACCCAAAAAAGAAAGAAAATCCCCAAAAAGAAAATACTTTCATCATCATTCAACACTTTCACCTCACTCACACATAATCACTGTTTTTGCAGAGGTGCTCAGAACACAACAGTTTAGAAGCATGTACGTATAAAGATACACAACATATCCCTCCAAACTGCAAATATCCCGAACCCCTCCTTTAGAGTGCAGGCATTGTACTTCCCATTTCCAGGACTCAAGTCCGGCTATATAAAAATAACCGGTTTCCCTGAATCCCTTCACTAAATATTACCCTGCTCACACTCCAACAGATCGTCAGGTCCCAAATACCATTCGTCTCCATTCACTCCTATCGAACACACTCGTGCATGCCTGCTGGAAGTCCAAGCCCCTCACCCACAAAACCTCCCTCACCCCTTTCTTCCAAAAATTTAAATGACCCTCTAAATTGCAATATCCCCACCCCTCCTTCAGACTGCAGGTACAGTACTTCTGGACTATCGTTCATAATTTTTTAAACAAGATTGAGAGGCTATATAACTTTAATGTGTGTGCAAATATTGTGGTAAGTAAGCTGGTGATATAGGATATTTTTTTTTTTCAACAAACCGGCCATATCCCACCAAGGAAGGGTGACCTAAAAAAAAAAAAACAAGTCTCTCTTTTTAAATTTTGTATGTATACAAGACAAACGGTTACTAGCCCCTTGTCGCCTCTTATGATATGAATAGCTTACAGAGGAAGGATTCTTCTCCACATCCCCATAGAGAGTACATAAACATATTGTCATCAATATCTCCAATTTTAGGAAGAGGAGAATTTCAATATTATGACATAAATCAATATTGCAATGTCAATAGTGCTTGTGATGAACCACTGATTCACTTAAGTGTGAAAGACTTGCAAACTAAAAAAAAAAAAAGCATCATGAATAATATCTGTGCTCAGTCAAAACATTTATGGTATACAGTGATTACTGCAATAATACTAAAGTATTCTGGTAGTGTGTGATTATAAGACTGAGAGGGAGCTACAGGCCTACATGACCTTTCTCATCCTATTTATCATGGAATTGGAGTTGAAATAGTATATTAAAATAAAGTACCTTGTTATAGCCTGATAGATACATACTGTTTACCTGGAGTTTACCTGGAGAGAGTTCCGGGGGTCAACGCACCCGCGGCCCGGTCTGTGACCAGGCTTCATGGTGGATCAGAGCCTTATCAACCGGGCTGTTACTGCTGGCTGCACGCAATCCAACATACGAGCCACAGCCCGGCTGGTCAGGTACTGACTTTAGGTGCTTGTCCAGTGCCAGCTTGAAGACAGCCAGGGGTCTATTGGTAATCCCCCTTATGTATGCTGGGAGGCAGTTGAACAGTCTCGGGGCCCCTGACACTTATTGTATTGTCTCTTAACGTGCTAGTGACTGCTTTTCATTGGGGGATGTTGCATCGTTTGCCAAGTCTTTTGCTTTCGCTGTGAGTGATTTTCGTGTGCAAGTTCGGTACTAGTCCCTCTAGGATTTTCCAGGTGTATATAATCATGTATCTCTCCTGCCTGCGTTCCAGGGCATACAGGTTCAGGAACTTCAAGCGCTCCCAGTAATTGAGGTGTTTTACCTCCGTTATGTGCGCCGTGAAGGTTCTCTGTACATTTTCTAGGTCAGCAATTTCACCTGCCTTGAAAGGTGCTGTTAGTGTGCAGCAATATTCCAGCCTAGATAGAACAAGCGACCTGAAGAGTGTCATCATGGGCTTGGCATCCCTAGTTTTGATGGTTCTCATTATCCATCCTGTCATTTTTCTAGCAGCTGCGATTGATACAATGTTATGTTCCTTGAAGGCAAGATCCTCCGACATGATCACTCCCAGGTTTTTGACATTGGTTTTTCACTCTATTTTGTGGCCGAAATTTGTTTTGTACTCTGATGAAGTTTTAATTTCCTCGTGTTTACCATATCTGAGTAATTAAAATTTCTCATCGTTGAACTTCACATTGTTTTCTGCAGCCCATTGAAAGATCTGGTTGATGTCGCCTGGAGCCTTGCAGTGTCTGCAATGGAAGACACCGTCATGCAGATTCGGGTGTCATCTGCAAAGGAAGACACGGTGCTGTGGCTGACATCCTTGTCTATGTCAGATATGAGGATGAGAAACAAGATGGGAGCGAGTACTGTGCCTTGTGGAACAGAGTTTTTCACCGTAGCTGCCTCGGACTTTACTCTGTTGACTACTACTCTTTGTGTTCTGTTTGTGAGGAAATTATAGATCCATCTACCAACTTTTCCTGTTATTCCTTTAGCACGCATTTTGTGCGCTATTACGCCATGGTCACACTTGTCGAAGGCTTTTGCAAAGTCTGTATATATTACATCTGCATTCTTTTTGTCTTCTAGTGCATCTAGAACCTTGTCGTAGTGATCCAATAGTTGAGACAGACAGGAGTGACCTGCTCTAAACCCATGTTGCCCTGGGTTGTGTAATTGATGGGTTTCTAGATGGGTGGCGATCTTGCTTCTTAGGACCCTTTCAAAGATTTTTATGATATAGTATGTTAGTGCTATCGGTCTGTAGTTCTTTGCTATTGCTTTACTGCCCCCTTTGTGGAGTGGGGCTATGTCTGTTGTTTTTAGTAACTGTGGGACGACCCCCGTGTCCATGCTCCCTCTCCATAGGATAGTAAAAGCTCGTGATAGGGGCTTCTTGTGGTTCTTGATGAACGCGGAGTTCCATGAGTCTGGCTCTGGGGCAGAGTGCATGGGCATGTCATTTATCGCCTGTTCGAAGTCATTTGGCGTCAGGATAACATCAGATAGGCTTGTGTTAACCAAATTCTGTGGCTCTCTCATAAAAAATTCATTTTGATCTTCGACTCTCAGTCTGGTTAGCGGCTTGCTAAAAACTGAGTCATACTGGGACTTGAGTAGCTCACTCATTTCCTTGCTGTCATCTGTGTAGGACCCATCTTGTTTAAGTAGGGGCCCAATACTGGACGTTGTTCTCGACTTTGATTTGGCATAGGAAAAGAAATACTTTGGGTTTCTTTTGATTTCATTTATGGCTTTCAGTTCTTCCCGCGATTCCTGACTCCTATAAGATTCCTTTAGCTTAAGTTCAATGTTTGCTATTTCTCTGACCAGTGACTCCCTACGCATTTCAGATATATTAGCCTCTTTTAGCCGCTCTGTTATTCTTTTTCGTCGCCTGTAAAGGGAGCGCCTGTCTCTTTCCATTTTACATCTACTCCTCCTTTTTCTTAAAGGAATAAGCCTTGAGCATACATCGAGTGCCACCGAGTTAATCTGTTCGAGGCATAAGTTGGGCTCTGTGTTGCTTAGTCTATCTTCCCAGCTTATATCGGTTAGGACTTGGTTTACTTGGTCCCACTTTATGTTCTTGTTATTGAAGTTGAATTTGGTAAAGGCTCCCTCGTGACTAATCTCATTATGTCGGTCTGGGGCTCCGTGCATACATGTCTGAACCTCGATTAAGTTGTGATCTGAGTATGTTGTTTTTGATATGGTGACATTTCATATCAGATCATCATTGTTAGTGAAGATGAGGTCTAGTGTATTCTCCAGTCTAGTAGGCTCTATTATTTGCTGGTTTAAGTTGAATTTTGTGCAGAGATTTAAAAGCTTGTGTGTGTGTGTGAGTTTTCGTCAGAGCTGCCTCCTGATGTTATCACTGCAACAACATTATTTGCTATATGCCTCCATTTTAGGTGCCTTAAGTTGAAATCCCCCAGGAGCAAGATGTTGGGAGCAGGAGCTGGAAGATTTTCCAGACAGTGGTCAATTTTTAACAGCTGTTCCTGGAATTGCTGGGACGCTGCATCCGGAGGCTTGTAGACTACCACAATGACTAGGTTTTGGTTCTCGATCTTTAATGCTAAAACTTCCACTACATCATTTGAGGCATTAAGCAGTTCTGTGCAAACAAGTGACTCTGCAATATACAGGCCAACCCCCCCTTTTGCCTGTTCACTCTGTCGCATCTGTATAGGTTGTAACCTGGGATCCATATTTCGTTGTCCAAGTGATCCTTTATGTGGGTCTCAGTGAAAGCCGCGAACATTGCATTTGCCTCTGCAAGCAGTCCACAGATAAAAGGTATTTTGTTGTTTGTTGCTGGCTTTAGACCCTGTATATTTGCAAGGAAGAATGTCATCGGACTGGTGGTATTGGTGGTACTGGGGGGACTTTTTTTTCCGGCATTAGTATCTGTATCTGTTGGTTTGGAGTGGAGGCCATCGACTGTGGTTCCACTCCAGGAATGACTGGATTTGGTGTACAATTTCTGCCATTTCCTGCCAGTTTTTTTTCCTTCCTGGCACTAAAAAACCTCTCCCTCTTGAGTGGCTGTGGCTACCCAGGTTTTCCCATGGCCTGGATGTTTTGCATCTTTTTGTCCCCTTTAGATAGTGTGCCTGGCAATTTAAGTTATAGCACAGTCTTTCCTGTACTGAAGAGGGACACATTTCAGGGTGAAAAAGCTTACAGGAAGTGAGTTTGCATTTTCCTGTTGTCATTTTCTAGGGTAGTCATAGTTGCACGTTCCATCTGTTTTTCCAGATTTCCCAGAAGAATTAACTAAAATTGACTAAAATACAGTTTGCAATTAGAGATTGGATATAATATGCAAGACAAAGCTGGAAGAAATCAGCCACTACAAGGATAAAAATTATCTTTGCAATGGTACATATTACTTACTTGTTGCAACTGTGGGAGATGTTGGAGTTGAAGACACAGGTGCTTTAACTCCACTCTTTTTTCTCTCTATGTATTGCAGTAAATCCTCCTTCAGTATTCTCCCATCTTTCCCTGTGCCTTGAACATCATACAAGTCAATCTGAAAATTTGTAAAAAGATAAAAACAATTGCTAAATACATGATAAGCTCTTCAAGTCAGTCCTTATCAGCCTGGTTATGTCACCTACACTGGATAGCATGTTGCTAGCACCAACAGTCTGATTGAGGTCAGGTAACAAGCTTCAAATTTTAAATTTCAACATTACCTTTTTCTCCCCTACACAAGATACCATGCAGTAAAGTATTCCAAAACACACCTTATATTCCATAGCAATTCTTCTTACAGCTGGGGTTGTAAGGATTTTTCCAGTTGGAAGTGTGAAGTTGCCTGGCTCTATTACTGCACCTTCCACAGGACGGCCCACAGATATAGCTTCCCCTTCCTGTACCTCAGCTCCCACAGAGTCATCTGAAATGAGAAAATTTTGAGCATTCTATCTGTCTCATCTTATTCCCTTCTCAAATGTAAAATAACATGAAGGTAAAACAAAAAATGACATACAGTATTTAAATGAGCTGGTCACATTAAGCACCAGAATAGGAATACGTATTATTATTTAATTCAATGGGGAGAGGGAAGAGCACCTAAGGAATTGGAGGTAATCAAATTTGATCTAAGGAAGGAGAGGAAAAGCCTAATTCCTTGAATCAAGAGCTGCTCACCAGTATCAAGGAATGGACCCTTCCTGAAGAGAGTGGATTTAGAAGCCAATAAACAAACTAGGAATGATAAGCATCCAGCTCCTTTGGAAATATGTGAATACTTTATATTCTAATTGTAAAATGAAAGTTAAACACACAGATAAATGTGCAACATCTTTCCCTTTACTCACCTTCCTTGGACACCTCAATGTCTACAAGTGGCTTTCCAACAAAAGCTGTGTCATCAACATCGTAGAATAATTTACGAATCACACCGTCATAACGACTAGTTATGGTGACAGAAGCCTTATCAGACTGCACCTCACAAATGCTGTCAAACTGTGCGACTGTGTCTCCCTCACTGACAAACCTGCTCATAACAGAGTACACAGTAATATGTAGTCAAGTTTGTATAATCTTTCCAAATTATTTATTATACTACATAAAAAACTTTACTGCTGCAATCAATAATAAATATCAGTAAAGAACTCAAATTTTTAGCTAATAAATATATTCATAAAAACTTGAACTCAACAATTTTTATAAATGAAACCAGTTCTGCAACAGAAGCTACTTTCAATATTTTAAAGATCTACTGTATTCTATTTACAGTGCTGTACAACCAATGTAAAATTCCATTTACTAACGAAACTGAAGTACGTATTGTAGTCTTACTAGTGGTTGAGAAGTCATTTAACTTGTTAGCTGTATCAATAGGCTGATGTTTCTGTTTAGTTAGTACAATATTACTAGTTCTGTTCGGTTTGTGGGTGCCCAGGATCTGAAAGAGTGCTTTCCAGGTCTTTTTATGTCTCCTCTCATTTCATTGAATCTATTAGAATAGTATACAGTGATACCTTGCATATCCGGCCTACCATTATCCTAACTGCACCAATATCCGAACAGGCCCTGGGAAAGGGTAAAATTCTAAAATTATCGAAATGTCCGAACAGCCATTTGGATGTTTTCTGCCGCCTCAAAAACTGGAAAAAGTGCTGAAAAAAAAGTGATGGTGAAGCCACAGAGCTTGGAATTCGATTAGTGCATGATGAAGTGGTACCTACAACAATGTGGTAGTGGTATGATGGTTAGTGGTGCTGAACTTAAAATGGCTGCAGAAATCCAGGAGGCTGTTATTCAAGAGCGCAGAGTGTCTGGTCCCACCACCAGATGACACTGGACTCATTTTTTAAACCTACAATGCCGTCGCCAATGGTGATATGACGGTATGGATGTGCATTTTTTCCCCTCGCATATCCGGAAACTCTGTTTCCGAACTGGTCTCGGTTCATATGGTTTGAACATGAGAGGTATCACCATAGCAGTTGCTTAGACTTTCTGATTAATTTGGCGAGGACTGACGTATAGTGTTTGATAAACTGTTTAGTTATTAAGCCCTTTCTATGTTTCTCATATTGATGTTTCATATTGATGGACCTTAGGATGCTGTTAGTAAGCATGGGCAACTTAATCTTTTATTGGTGATCGGTTTAGTTTTTACAGGACAATGTTTGTTATACATAGTCTTTGAATTTTATTTAGAAATATCTACCCATTCATCAATACTAGTGTCACTGAAAAATTCTGTATGCCAGACAACTGAGCTTAGTTCTGCAGTGAAGTTGCTTACTGAAGTCTCATCATGGAATCGAAAGGAGATCTTATTGTATTTCATTAGTCGCTTACAAATGTTTGTTAGGAGCAAAGTTGGGTAGTCCGTGATTATCCCCGCTTTAAGGGGGGCAAGTATGTTTGTCCATATATGGTCAATTGTGGTTGCACTCATCTCAGTTAGTCTTGAACATTAAAATGGTATAAAATACCGACAGGTTGTTAGGTAAGACACATATGCAACAGTTGGGTATCTTTATTATGAAACGTTTCGCCTACACAGTAGGCTTCTTCAGTCAAGTACAGAAAAGTTGATAGAAGCAGAAGATACTTGAAGACGATGTAATCAGTCCATCACCCTTAAAGTTTTGAGGTGGTCAGTCCCTCAGTCCTGTCACTTCATCTCCATATTGTTTCATACTATGGAACAATGCTCTTCTCCAGACTGAGGGACTGACCACCTCAAAACTTTAAGGGTGATGGACTGATTACATCGTCTTCAAGTATCTTCTGCTTCTATCAACTTTTCTGTACTTGACTGAAGAAGCCTACTGTGTAGGCGAAACGTTTCATAATAAAGATACCCAACTGTTGCATATGTGTCTTACCTAACAATCAGTTAGTCTTGTTGGCTTTGTAATTACTCCTCTGGTCTTGTTATGGACTTTCCACTCACCTTAGCATTTTCTAAGGGCATTTGAAGTAACACTTTCTCTAATCACCTTTTCATTTATATAACCTTAATATAATGCACAGGAAATTTGCTTATCCATAATGCTTTCCATGGCAGACGCAAGCCTGTCCAATAAATTAACTTTTTATTCAAATTCATCACTTTTGACACATGTACATAATGTAATACAGTACGTACAGTACATATATCATAAAAGATTATTTCTTAATCTCATATTCATTTACAATTAAATTTCAAAATCATTTACCATTCCTTGATGACTACTTCTTTGATGCCCTCACCAATATCAGCCAAGAGGAAGGAGACAAGTCTGTGACCTACAGCTGTAGTATGAAAAGGCCTGTCTGCTCTGTGCTTCCGTGATAGCACCCATTTACTCCTTGGTATACAAATGCTACATGGATGCCACCCAGGCACCACCTGAGTTTGCCGTTTGCACGAGGAGTGTTGACGAGCCCAGTAACTCTGTAAATAACCCAAAGTACATACAGGACATAAAAAATATGATATCTGTTACTGGTTCTAGGAATTACTGAGCCCAAGCTCAGACCAGGTCCTGTCAACTGGAAAGGAAATATTACAGGGCTAAAAACTATCATGAAATTCACAGTAAGGTGCATACTGTACTAAATGTAGGTAGAAGTTAACAATATTTCTTACTTGTTAGTTTGTATGTTCATTAAACAAAGAAATGATCAACAATCCTGTTGGAGGGGAAAATGTTTAACATGCTTCAATTTTGGATTTGTATAACAGAATAGTAGTACCTACATGAATGGTGTTACAAAAAGAATAATGGCAACAAAGAAGGGGAAGTAACTGAAGCAAACCAGTGTCAGAGAATCTGTTCTAAAGTTGAAATAGTTTGAGAGGAGGTGGAGAGAGTAAATATATCAGAAGAATAAAATGTGTGAAATGAAGGTGATGCACTCTTTAATAAACAAGACAACTGCTCAAAACTTGTTGAACTGTCAGTATAATTTGGTAATTCTTGCAGAGTGGTACCAAGTGGCCTTTCAAGCGATAACCATATGTAAGTGGAGTGACAAGTGCATTGATATGCTTCCCACAACCAGTGATGGACTGAGGACAGCCAGAAGCCCAATTACACTTTGATGGAAACAACTTGCTGCTCTCTAATGAGAACCAAAGCATTACCAACAATATTTGCAAGAGATCTTAGAAATGGGCCACTTCACTAGCCACCTTAGAAGTTTATAGTTTAACTTTCTACACCTACTGCATTAACTCTTAAACTGTCCAAGCAGATCTACGTTCACATGCGTAGTGCTCCAATTGTAGATCTACGTTTCTTTTACATATTTTCAAATATAACAAAAAAAAAAAAAAAGGTAGATCAAAGTTTTTTTACACGTTTTCAAATGTAAAAAAAAAAAGGATCTACTTTTTTTACATACTTTCAAATGTTGAAAAAACGTAGGTCTACGTTTGGACAGTTTAAGGGTTAAGCAATACAGTATGTATTACTATAAGCAAAACCAGGATCTCCTGTTTTTATATTTTAAATTATTATTAGAATCATATTGGAGCACTAAACCCATAGGAGCCACAAAGTGCCAGGGAAATGTTTCAAAATAAATACCAAACCCCTATGGGGTTAAAAGAGTACTCAAATCTGGAAAAAAGAAATAAGCAAGTCCTTGACTGAGGCATGGTTGACCGATAGGGAACAGAGATTTTCAATAAATGGGGAGAAATCAGAATGGGGACCCATTACTAGTGGTGTGCCACAGGGTTTACTACAAGAGTCCTTTGTTGTTCACAATCTACATAAATAACATAGATGAGGGAATAAATAGTGACATAAACAAGTTTGCCGATGATACTAAAATAGGCCATCAGGTAACTTCTGATGAGGACACTAGAAAGCTACAGGATGACCTGGATAGGTTGATGATGTGGTCAGAGAAGCAGCAGATGCTGCAGCTCAATGAAGATAATTGTAAGGTTTTAATCTTAGAAAAAGAAAATAACTGTAACACTTATAAGTTAAACAACGTAGATCTTAGAGAGAATGCAAAAAAAATATTTAGCAGTTCTGGTTAGTAGAAATTTAAAGCCATGATAACAGTGCATAAGTTTGTATAATAAAGCTAAATGACTTTTTAGTTTCATATTAAGGAGTACAATATAAATAATAGGAGTCCTCATGTTACACTTGAACTTTATATATCCATGGTAAGGCCTCTTTTAGATTACGATGCTCAGTTCTGGATCCCTGTATTACTGGATAACACACAGTGAGGGATGAGGAAACTGATTCCAAGTATCAGAAATCTTTCCTTTAAAAGATAGGCTGCAGACATTGAATCTCCATTCTCTGGAAAGGCATAGAATTAAAGGAGATATGACTGAAGAAAACACAGGGAAGACAGGAATAAATCAATAAATACGATGCTGAAAATATCTGACCATGACAGGACTTGCAGAGTTGTATATCAGTGGAACAGACTTCCAGGTAGCTTCAATGAGGCAAGATCTTTGGGTAGCATTAAATATAAGATGGACAGGTACATGAGTGGGTGTAGGTGCATGCGTGGACTTGCCTAGCATGAGCCAGTAGGCCTACTACAGTGCTTCTCCTTTCTTATATTCTTATGAAAACAATTTACTGTAAATAAATATGTTATAATTACTAATTAGCCCACTAAGAAGAAGTCTGGATTATTAACCTAATAAAGTCACTCTCATTAGACTGTCTGGCTTATTTCCATTGCAGGGCCTTTAATCCTCTCCCCAAGATGCAACCCAGAACATGCCCGGGTACCTACTTACTGCTAGGCGAACAGGTGCCCCATCTTATCTGGAGTTTATCTGGAGAGAGTTCCGGGGGTCAACGCCCCCGCGGCCCAGTCTGTGACCAGGCCTCCTTAGGTCAGTGTCCCAGGATGCGACCCACACCAGTCGACTAACACCCAGGTACCCATTTTACTGATGGGGAACATAGACAACAGGTGGAAAGAAACACGTCCAATGTTTCTACTCTGGCTGGGAATCGAACCCAGGCCCTCACCGTGTGAAGCGAGAGCGTTAACCACCAGGCCACCAGAGCCCCATAGTTTGGTTGGTAGCACACTCAGCTCACACGTTAAGTCTGTGGTTCAATCTCCGGTACGTATGGAAACACTGTGGTGTTTCCTCAAGACATGTGTCTCTGTTCACCTATCAGTAAGTAGGTACCTGGGTGTTAGTTGACTGGTGTGGGTTGCATCCTGGGGATAAAACTGACCTAAGTTACCCAAAGTGCTCTGCATAACCAGGGGCTTTCTATATAGTATGTCACTGATGTCAGCTATGGTCTGTACAAGTTGTACCATGTATTTGTAGAAATAATTATATTATTATTATTATTATTTTTGTAATACTAACATACCCAGCTTTGCCTGGCTGGCAAAGCTCTCGCTTTACACGCGGAGGGCCTGGGTTCGATTCCTGGCGGGATGGAAACATTTCAACGCGCTTCCTTACACCTGTTGTCCTGTTCACCTAGCAGCAAATAGATACCTGGGTGTTAGTTGACTGGCGTGGGTCGCATCCCGGGGGACAAGACTGAGGACCCCAAAGTAAATAGACAGACGCTCCTCGATGACACACTGCCTTTCTTGGGTTATCCCGGGTGGCTAACCCTCTGGGGTTAAAAATCCGAACTAAATCTTATTTTATCTTATCTTAACACTCATCCGGTGATCGAACCCCGGTCCCTCCGAGTGTGAGCCAAGGTTAAAAATATATTTACTCTATATTTGAAGCATTTATTGAAGGATATTGCGTGGCTTACGTTTACCGCTGCTGTTCTCGCATACTGGAAGTTAAATCGAAGAAAACTAAGCCTAGAGTAACATAATACTGCAGTAGCTGCCATGGTCGCCTGCTACCTGCTCACCACACGAACACCCTCAGGGAACGTTTTTGTCTAAGACACACGTTCATACTTCAGCATGTACAGTGTTTATTCATGATATTCCTATTTTATATAATAGATTGGTATACATTTATTAATATGAGGTATTTGGTTGGCGTTTATAAAAATATGTTGAATTTTCTTCTTTCTCTGAAGTTATTGTACGGCAAATAAAACATTTGCCAGAACAGTTCGATTGCAAAGACTACGACTGCATTCAGTATTGTCGCTTTAAAAGCTAAAATGGCAAATAGGTTAACCCTCTTTCCCTTGCAAAATAATTTCACCTTTACTAATTTCTTTATATTGTTTATTTTTATTCATAGTGGTGTTTATTATCAGTGTTTATTATTATTATTATTATTATTATTATTATTATTATTATTGTTATTGTTATTGTTATTGTTATTGTTATTGTTATTATTATTATTATTATTATTATTATTATTATTATTATTATTATTATTATTATTATTATTATTATTATTATTATTATTATTATTATTTTCGATGCTCCTGTATTTTTTATTATTTCAGACATCGCATGCCTGAAGTTTTCTTACACAGGCTAGACCTCCAGAAGACATGAAATTTTTTATATAAAGGATAGACCTCCAGTAAAGGACCCCAATGGAAATAAGTCACTCTGTCTGACTTTTTTGGGTTATCCTAGGTTCTCTACACATATGCTGCTATGTATAATAATTCTATGTAACTGTATTTGTGTATACCTGAATAAACTTACTTACGTACTTACTTAGTAGGCCTAGTTTTCATACATAAGGTATGGCTTTGAAGAGGCCTGACGCTTTCTTACATAGGATAATGCTTGCAATAGGAATGAGTGTTTTATTATAAAGGATATGACATTTAGTAGGCCTGGAATGTTCTTACTCAGAATATGACTTCCAACAGGCCTGTGCCAAACCTGCTGTATATACACAGAGGAATATACCTGTGTATATGGACTGAGTTATGTATATGATAATATATATACACTCGAGAGGTATATCTCCGTGTATTATAATAATAATAATAATAATAATAATATCTCCGTGTATACCGATATGTGTATATCTATACACGAGATGCCCCTCACGGGAGGTGGCTCGTTGGAGAGGGGCTCTTGATTCAAGGAAATGGGTTTATCCTCATAGATCAAACCTGAATGTCTCCTGTTCTCTAGGCATTATATGACCCCACAGATTTAACTCTCCACTATAAATAAAATAGAATAACCCATCTCAACCATACGAGCATGTTAACATGTTCTAATTGATCTCATTCCTCTTATGCTGGACTATCTGTTCTATAATGATGTACCTGGTGCAGTAAATGTCACCAAGACCCCAGTGGAAATAAGTCACTTTGACGTTTTTGGGTTATCCTAGGTAATCTACATATATCCTGCTATGTATGATAATTTATGTAACTGTATTTATGTATAGAGAACCTAGGATACCACTTCGATTCCTAGCAAAGGGGCAGAAACATTGGACGTATTTCCTTACACCGGTTGTCTAGGTTCACCCATCAGTAAAATGGGTACCTGGGTGTTAGTGGACTGGTGTGGGTCGCATCCTGGGACAAAAACTGACCTAATATGGCCGAAATGCTCAGCATAACAAGGGACTTTCTATATAGTAGTATGTCATTGATGTCAGCTAGACCTGTATACCTTGTACATGTACTTGTAGTAAATAAAGTTGAGTTACTTAGATATTTTAACTTTTAAGGTTTAATAATAAGGTATGACAAGGACTCCAATAATAATAATAATAATAATAATAATAATAATAATTTCATATTGACATGATATATAGTTGTACAAAGGAATATAATAATTGAGTGTACATGCCAAAAGCCCTTTGTATGCAGAGCATTTCGGGCAAACTTAAAATTAACTTAAGATTAATTAGGCTATAAGATAAGATAAGATTTCGTTCGGATTTTTAACCCCGGAGGGTTAGCCACCTAGGATAACCCAAGAAAGTCAGTGCGTCATCGAGGACTGTCTAACTTATTTCCATTGGGGTCCTTAATCTTGTCCCCTAGGATGCGACCCACACCAGTCGACTAACACCCAGGTACCTATTTGCTGCTAGGTGAACAGGACAATAGGTGTAAGGAAACGTGTCGAATGTTTCCACCCGCCGGGAATCGAACCCGGGCCCTCCGTGTGTGAAGCGGGAGCTTTAGCCACCAGGCCATTAGGTCATTAGGTGAATAACATTGAGTACAGAGACTTGGCTATTAATCGGTAATGCTATATGGCTTAATAGGTCTGTTAGAGAAGTTTAGTAGTGAATAATTACAGTCTTGAAATATTTTATAAAAAATTAGTATTACAATAGAACAATTTAAACAATTTACTATATGAAGTACAATTGAGTATTTAAAACGATGAAATTTGAACATTATAATTTTGAAGATTACAGTTTTACAGTTGAACAAATTAAACAATTTACTATATGAAGTACTACAATTTAGTATTCCGAACAATGAAATTTGAACATCCAGTTTTTTGAAGTAATGAGTACATGATTAAGCAATCTTCAGCAAAATATTCAGTACTGAAATTGAGACATCATTGGTACTTTTTGTGTTGCTTTTGAGTAAATGGTAGGTATTAAGTACAGCTTTTCTGATTAATTTTGAGTGATGAGATTTCTCAGTAGGGCATTAAATTGATTTACAGGCAGGGGTCTTTTAGTGTGTTCTGGTTATGAATTCCTTTGGGCCCTTTACGTGCATTGTATTTTAGCACAGGGGGAGATGGAGAGTTATTATTATTATAATACTAATAAAAAAGAAGCGCTAAACCGAGAGATGGAGAGATGGTTGTGTGTTCTGTTGTAGTTAGCAAGTAGGAGTTTGAGAGGAAGGAAATAAGTAACTTCATCTAACTTGTTTTTGATTATACTAGATAATTTACACTATGTATGATAATTGTACTTCCGTGCCTAAATAAACTGTACCATGCTGAAATAATCGAATACAATTTATTAATTTTTCCTGGGTTCTCGGGAAGGCTCAATAAAGTTTAGGTTTTGGTGGCCCTCAAAGTCCCTGACAACAATAACAACAACACAAAAAGTGCTTCAACATTTTTACAATAATTTTATACAGTAAATCATGCAGGATTTAACTTATAATCCATCCAATTCAAACAATGTGATTTACTTCCTTTGGGATCCTAGTTATATGTTACAATTGTATTTTTTTTTGCATAAGATACTTGTATACTGCAGAACTGTATGACCCTTGTGGTTTAGCGCTTCTTTCTGATTATAATAATAATAATAATAAATAATAATAATAAGAATAAGAATAATAGTAATATAATAATATAATATAATAATATAATAATATAATAATAATAATAATAATAATAATAATAATAATAATAATAATAATAATAATATACAGCAGAAAGATAGCAAAAGGACCCCAATGGAAATGTCACTTTTACTTTTTCCTAGGTAATTTACACATGTACTATGTATGCTAATCGTACTTATGTGTATCTGTACCTAAATAAACTTGTCTCCCTGAAGAGATTATTGGTAATAATATCTTCAGGGAGACAAGTTGGTGATGGGTTCTTGATCCAAAGACTAGAGTGAAATCTGATTGTACAATTTGATTAAGTTTATTCAGGTTCACATCAGTACTGTTACGTAAATTGTCATATATAGGAGCATATATATATAGGCTACCTAGGTTAACCCCAAAAAAGTCAGTTACTTATTTCATTTAGTGTCCTTGACCCTAGCTACTCTATGGCCCCTATGATTTTAGTGCTGCATTCTTCTTCTTCTTCTTCTTCTTCTTCTTCTTCTTCTTCTTCTTCTTCTTCTTCTTCTTCTTCTTCTTCTTCTTCTTCTTCTTCTTCTTCTTATTCTATCATTCAATCATCTATCATTCATATCAATCATCATCATCATCATCATCATCATCATCATCATCATCATCATCATCATCATCATCATCATCATCATCATCATCATCATCATCAATCATCATCATCATCATCATCATCATCATCATCATCATCATCATCATCATCATCATCATCATCATCATCATCATCATCATCATCATCATCATCATCATCATCATCATCATCATCATCATCATCATCATCATCATCATCATCATCATCATCATCATCATCATCATCATCATCATGCATTCTGAAAAGAAGAATCAACACAAAAAATAATACTATGTCAAATCTTGTAATAATAATAATATTAATGTCTTTATTTACTACAAGTACATTTACAAGGTATACAGGCCTAGCTGACATCAATGAAATATGACTATATAGAAAGCCGCTTGTTATGCAGAGCATTTCGGGAAAATTAGGTCAGTTTTGTCCCAGGATGCGACCCACACCAGTCGACTAACACCCAGGTTCCCATTCTACTGATGGGTGAACATAGACAACCAGTGTAAGGAAACACACCCAATGTTTCTAATAATGCTGCTTCAAAGCAAGTCTCCTAACCTCCAGGACAGAAATTCTGTGCTGCCCCTGCTATGATATAGTATATACATACATATATTAAAAGAATGTTTTTAAACAGGTATTAATTTTTTCTTTTATATATGTGTGTGTATGCATGCGTGTGTACTTTCATTGTGTTATTCTAGCTGCTCTTTGTTGCACATAAATTTTGTAGCTATATTTATTTGAGCAGAATGTCTGGAGGCTGTTCTGTGGACTCCATCATACCATGGGCACAAGTTTGCCGCATGCTTGACAAGGTCCAGTCAGCTGTGCGAGCCTCCAAACGAGAAATGCTGCAAAAATTTATTAAAAATTTCCGGGAGTGTCTTCAGAAGAAGTTACAACAAGACCCAAATGCAGTATGTTTTTGTTATGCTGTGGAGTTATATTTATACAGTAAACCCTCAGTATAATGGACTAATAGGGATTGTTCAAGTACAGTATCTGTTTCATTGGAATGATGCTTAAAAATAGCAAAAAAGAATCACTTAAGTACTCTGCTGTATATAATACTGTATTGTACTGCATACACAATTTACAGTTGTATTTTATTTTTTTTATTAACACATTGGCCATTTCCCACCAAGGCAGGGTGGCATGAAAGAGAAAAACCATCATCATTCAATCCATCACTGTCTTACCAGAGGCATGTTTACACTACAGTTATAAGACTGCAACATTAACACCCCTCCTTCAGAGTGCTGGCACTGTACTTCCCCATCTCCAGGAATCAAGTCCGGCCTGCCGGTTTCCCTGAATCCCTTCATAATGTTACCTTGCTTACACTCCAACAGCACGTCAAGTCCTTAAAACTACTTGTCTCCATTCACTCCTATCTAACACGCTCATGCACGCTCGCTGGAAGTCCAAGCCCCTCACACACAAAACCTCCTTTACCCCCTCCCTCCATCCTTTCCCAGGCTGACCCCTACCCCGCCTTCCCTCCACTACAGATTTATATACTTTTGAAATCATTCTATTTCGTTTCATCCTCTCTACATGTTCAAACCTTCTCAATAACCCCTCCTCAGCCCTCTGGATAATAGTTTTGGTAATCCCACACCTCCTAATCTCCAAACTACAGATTCTTTGCACTATATTCACACCACACATTGCTCTCAGACATGACATCTCCACTGCCTCCAGCCTTCTCCTTGTTGCAACATTCACAACCCATGCCTCACACCCAAACAGGAGCATTGGTATAACTACAGTGGACCCCCGGTTAATGATATTTTTTCACTCCAGAAGTATGTTCAGGTGCCAGTACTGACCGAATTTGTTCCCATAAGAAATATTGTGAAGTAGATTAGTCCATTTCAGACCCCCAAACATACACGTACAAACGCACTTACATAAATACACTTACATAATTGGTCGCATTCGGAGGTAATCGTTATGCGGGGGTCCACTGTATACTCTCATACATTCCCCTCTTTGCTTTCATGGATTAAGTTCTTTGTCTCCACAGACTCCTCAGTTCACCACTCACCTTTTTCCCCTCGTCAGTTCTATGATTCACCACATCCTTCATAGACCCATCTGCTGACATGTCTACTGCCAAATATCTGAACACATTCACCTCCTCCATACTCTCTCCCTCCAATCTGATATCCAATCTTCCGTTACATAATTTTTTTGTTATCCTCATCACCTTACTCTTTCCTATATTCACTTTTAATTTCTTTCTTTTACATACCCTACCTAACTCATCAACCAACCTCTGGAACTTCTCTTCAGAATCTCCCAAAAGCAGTGTCATCAGCAAAGAGCAACTGTAACAACTCCCACTTCTCTTACAACTCCATCTATAAATATATTGAACAAATAAATATACTGAACAGTTGTATTTTAGTAAATATTGAAAATAAGAGCTAAAAGTACAATTTACCCATTGGATTTTGTCCATTATTTCAAAAGCTCATTATATCAAGTTCCATTATATCTAGGGTTTACTGTATCTTGTAAACTTTATGTAGTACAGTAGTTTATCATGTACCCCTCCAAAAAGGAATACTGTACCTACAGTTGTTGTTTGATATGTTTTCTTCCTTCAAGGTTTTTTTCCATAACTTAAGAATAGTTCTTGTGATTGGCTTCAAACGTTCAACCCTGGTGAACTATACTTAGAGAACAGTTTGATTCTTATTGGGCTATGCAGATCCTCTTTTGTTATTTTTATATGTATTTCATAAAATGATTTTGGTTTTTGTGTGACCACTTCAGAAAGCTTCTTAGGAGTTAGTTTAATCTTTATTATGTGTCTCATACTCATCCTGTGGGTGGTAGTCAAAAGATCACAGAGGTATATATTGGGTCCAGGGACTAGGCAGAAAAGTTTTGATAGCCGAAGAAGTTACAGTGGTAATGAACTATTTACAAGTATATATCTGGTTACAATCGTAGTGACTTATTATTTAGAAGAAGGTTCAAATTGTTATTGGATTGTGCAAGTACCAGCTTACCAATTTTATTTTTAAATGTGTTAGTGCTCTGATTAGCTAAGTCAAACTTACACATCCTGAAGCTGTACTGAATTTTTCTTTAGGGTAGAAGCTTAGATTTTTTTTTTTTTAGGAATATACGGCCACATGATTTACTGTAATGTCTTGATCATTGTTAAATTCTCTGTGCCAGTCAATTTTGCTGGTTGAAATGTAAAGTGACCTAAATTGCCCTGCTTTTAAGTGTGGATATTCTTATATCATTCTAAGTACGATCCTCTACCTTATGCTCAAGATACTTTCTGTTTGAACATACTGTTCATAGCTGCAGATAGGCATTTATAAGAAATGAATTGATTCCAAACTTCTCCATTCATAAGTGTGGATGTTCCTAACTTGGATATTTGTAAGTCATGATTCTACAGTATTGTACTAAAGTTTTTATTTCTGTATTTTATTATTATGTTTTTATTTCGTTTGTTGTGTCTAAAAAAAGAAATGTGTACAAAAGTTTTCCATTGATTTTTTTTGTTCCAACAGCCAGATAGCTTCTTTCCTGTGTTGCGGATTCTACTTCCAGCACTAGACCGATCAAGAGGCGCTTATGGTGTCAAAGAACGCAAGTTAGCTGAGCTTTATATCCGTATTCTTGGTCTGAAGAAGGAGGGCAATGATGCCCAGAAGTTATTACATTTTCGGTACTGATAAGTATTCCGTGTACAGTATTTTTAACAAAGTTTGTTTGATATTGAGGACAGATTTGCCAGCATTTTCAAATATGGCATTATTGTTGCCCATATTTAGCTCCAATAAATACTTTTTTTTCATTCCTTTCATTTGACAACAGAGAAAACTTTGTGAAATGGTTTATTGTATTCCCCAGCCTTAATATTCTATATATAATCTCAGTTCATTTTACCCCAAGAATATTTACCCAATATTTTACCTTAAATATTCCTTTTTAGTTGCATATGCAACACGGCAATATTTCTATAATGTGTGCATATTAACTGTGTGTGTGTGTGTGTGAGAGAGAGAGAGAGAGAGAGAGAGAGAGAGAGAGACAGAGAGACAGACAGACAGAGGGAGGGAGAGGAAGAGGTAGAGGGAGTGGGAGAGGGGAGAGGGAAGAGGAGGGGAGGGGGGAAGGGTAGGGAAGGGAGTGAGTGAATACAGTTCACTTTCAAACCATTTCGAACAGTCTTTTATGTCTGATGAAACCACTTCTCCTTATACTTCTCGGTTTCTTGTATGATGGCTATTCTTGCATGGATTCTGCCTCCACTCAACAGCTGCCTCCTCCTTTCTTGGGTATAAGTGGTATGATTCCAACTGGGTTCCTATTAGAAAATGTGACTTTGAACATTGAGAGACTGATTTCTCTATCAGGGAGTATGGAACACTGGGTTTCTACTTGCACACCAATTATGGCATTCTGAGTGATGAATGGAGCTTGTTTTTCTAGTTTGACATGCTCTTGGAATGTGAGCAAGGTACAGTAATATTTATGAAAGGATACAGGGGAAATTGGTTAGCCTGCTTTGAGTTCTGGAGGTGGGAAGTATAGCACCTGCACTCTGAAGGAGGGGTGGGAATGCTACAGCTCAGTGTGTCATTTGAATTGTGATGTCTTCATACTTTGGCAAGACAGCTGTTGAATGAATGATAGTGAATGTCTTTTCAGTTGTGTATCACCCTACCTTGGTGGGAGACCCAAGAAAAAATGAAGCTGTTCAGATGCCCCTCCTCACTGGTATCTCTGCACCATAACAGTAACAAGAGTGACCTAACCAGGGCTAGGAGAGGCGCTGTAGGTATTAGACAGTGTGAGATATAATTTAAGCTAGGCTTTCCAGGGCCACTAATGCTGAAATGCACATTTCCACATTCAAAATAATTTTATTACAGTGCTACTTTCTATCATTTTGTGTAGCTTAAACTGAAATCACTGAGCATTTAACATTACTGTCATTGAAAATAGGTATTGATCATGTTATCCTGGGTCCCTGAAGATGTTTAAGTTATAAGTGTATAAGTAGGCATTTGTTATATTTTTCTGCATGGAAGAAGTATGTTTTACTAGAAGAAATATGTTTTAGTAGAAGGAATATGGTTTACTAAAAACCTTTTCATCTCTCTCTCTCTCTCTCCTCCTCTCTCTCTCACTCTCTCTCTCTCTCTCTCTCTCCTATGCAGAAAGCCCAAATCAGCATCTGGAAGTGAAACTGGTGATTTTGCTGAGGTAGCATACTATGTGCTGAAGAGTCGTTGTCCTGACAGCGGAAACATGTCACTGCGTGATGTCGACACACATCTCACATCCATTGCTGAGAATTATTCAGCTAAAAGACATGGTATTTTTCTGCATTTTATTTTTATTGTAAAATAGCAAAAGTCAGAAGAGTGCAAACAGTATCTGACACATGCCTAGGCAGATAGAGATCACAGTACGGCATTGTGTATATGTAGACCATAAGTGAGTGATGGTAAGTGGGCTACAGGCTTGCAAGAGTCATGTGGATGGGGAGACACAGTGATAAAACTGCAGTACAGTAGATCCCCCAGTTTCAACCCTAATGCATTCCTGAAATTTTTTTGTTGCTCGGGTGTTTGGAATACAGATGCTATATACCCAGATACACCCATGTTATAATTGGAGATGTGTCCCTGAGCCATAATACTCTGTATCTGATTTTATGTTTCTTAACAAAGAAATTGAAGACATTGTATAGTACTCAGATGAGTTTTGTCTGTTCCTTACTCTTTCTCCCCTCCCTCCTATTTCTTTGAGCCTTTTCTTTTACCCAAGATCAGACTTTTGTATAAGCTAATTAAGTTACAGCTTAGGCTATAATGATATGAAGGGCCTAAAATTTTGCCCCCCCCTCCATACTTTACTATTACAGTACTGTACCTGTTTTGACTTGGAATTTTGGGGACCTCTTAAACTTGACTTAGCACAAGTCCTGCCCTTACCTTCCTCCCTCTCACATTCCATTAATCTTGCTCTACCTTTTACTCTCACTCTCCCATTTTGAATAGAAGAGTGAATGGAAGGGAGAGAAAGTGAAAGGGAAGACATAGTCATCTGAGTATTATTGATAGGTTTAATGACCCTAGTAGTCAATAGGCTTTAAACTCTGTTTACCTTCATATCTGCTACAACACAATTTACATATGCTCTCCACCCTCATTGTTATTGTGAGGGAATTAAGTGTCTTGGCATATGGTGTGGATAAGGGGTGGTGAGGATAATTGCATGGGCAGGAGTTGAGTACAGGTAGCCAAACTAGGGTAGGGAGAAGAAAAAATGAGGTTACCCATCTTTCTCCAAGGTTCCCTAGCAACCCACTTGATTCCCCTGGCACTCCAACCAATCTCTTATCCTACCCTGTCCACCAACCACTGATAAGTACCTGATGTAGAGAGCTGTGCCAACCAACAGAACAACATAAATTTTAAATCTACAGTTCTTGTACAGTTCTTGTTGTTCTTGTACTGTACGTTTTTACTTCTAGGACTCAAATCCAGCTAACCAGGTTTCCTGAATCCCTTCATAAGTGTTACCTTGCTCACACTCCAACAGCATATGAAGTCATAAAAACCACTTTCCTCCACTCACTCCTATCTAACATGCTCACACATGCCCGCTGGATGTCCCTCACACAAAATCTCTTACCTTGTCCCTTCCTAGGATGACCCACACATCCTTCCTTCCACTACAGATTTATGCACCCTCCAGATTATCCTATTTTTCTCCATCCTCTCTATGCCCAAACTACCTCAGTAACATAGAGAATGTGAAAAGCATATGTAAGGAATATTGTGTTGGATTTAATGGGAAAGAGAGAGAGAGAGAGTGGGAGTAAATAGGATAGTGATAGGAAAGGGAATGTAAGAGAGGGAGGGAGATAAAAAATTGTAGAGAGGGAATGAGAAGGGGAGGAATGAACAGGAAAGGAAGGGAAGAGAAGGACTAATTTGAGTCACCACTGCATTTCTGTATATGTTATGACTAAAATTTCACTCCATTTCAGTATTAACTTTAACAAATGTTATATTAATATGTTATATTAACTGCGTAACACAATATTTTGATAATCTATTACAATAAAACATTGTCCTGTAGTTTTAAGCTAGTTTTAAGGGTCTCCAAAATTCTTGCATAACCAGGGTCTTTCCATTAAATGTGTATAGCCTGTCACCTAATAATGACTGTATACTGTATTGACTAGGAATAAACATTTTCATTTTCATCTTTGAGTGTTTGCTAATTTTTCTGTCATATGTAGATGTTATCAGTGTGATATATAGTCTTCATTATTTTTAGCAGAATCTTTTTAAATGAGGGATTAACATTTTTTTTCACTTTGCTACATTCCTTTGCTATCCTTGGTTAACCTCGAAGGCTGTAGTTGTGGTTCACTCTAGGTCATAATGCTGAAGGTAAACTTTCTTCTTTCAACAAACCGGCCGTATCCCACCGAGGCAGGGTGGCCCAAAAAGAAAAACAAAAGTTTCTCTTTTTAAATTTAGTAATTTATACAGGAGAAGGGGTTACTAGCCCCTTGCTCCCGGCATTTTAGTCGCCTCTTACAACACGCATGGCTTACGGAGGAAGAATTCTGTTCCACTTCCTCATGGAGATAAGAGGAAATAAACAAGAACAAGAACTAGAAAGAAAATAGCTGAAAACCCAGAGGGGTGTGTGTGTATATATATATTTGTACATGTATGTGTAGTGTGACCTAAGTGTAAGTAGAAGTAGCAAGACGTACCTGAAATCTTGCATGTTTATGACACAGAAAAAAGGACACCATCAATCCTACCATCATGTAAAACAATTACAGGCTTTCGTTTTACACTCACTTGACAGGACGGTAGTACCTCCCTGGGCGGTTGCTGTCTACCAACCTACTACCTAGAGCTGAAGATAAACATGTTATTTAAATGTGTCAGAAACTACCTGAACAGAAAACAGAAACACAGGTTAAAAGAAATGTGTACATTTTGGCTTAAGTCAAAGGCCCTCTTCAGAAGACACCTGAAGAGGGGTCTTTGATGTAGAAATATATGGATCTGTTTTTCCTGTTTATCTAAATGGTTTCTTACTTTTCATTGATCATTATTAATGGCACTAATAATGACTTTAATTTTTTTTTTAACATGTTGGGCATCTCCCACCAAGACAGGGTTAGCTAATTTTTTTTTTAACATGTTGGGCATCTCACACCAAGACAGGGTTAGCCCCCCCCCACCCAAAAAAAAGAAACAAACACTTTCACCATCATTCAACGTTTTCACCATCATTCACACATAATCACTGTCTTTGCTGAGGCACCCAGATATGACAGTTCACATGTCATTCCAAAGAGCCAGTATCACAATACCACAATAAAATTTTTTTTCAAAAGCGTGACTAACTAAAATGTTGCTGTGACATTTTTTAAACTAATAGATAATTGTACGTAATTGTACAGAAGAGGTTGAGCGGTCACTTCTGGTGATGCTGCGCAGCATGACAGCCACAGAGCAGAAGTGGCTCATTCGTGTACTGCTGAAGGACATGAGACTTGGTATTGGCCAGAATGCTATCTTGAATGCCTGGCACCCAGATGCTAAAGATTTTTATGATGTGAACAACAGCCTTGAAAAGGTAAGTAGTTACAGAAGTAAATTTTGACCATTCTCTGTTACCTTTAGGGAATTAGATCTGATTGTACAGTGAATCCTTTGTATGTGCTAGATCATCATTTGCTAATATATATTAGTGAAATTATATACTGACAACTATTTTAACAAGATACATCATGTAGTTTATGGCATTTTATTGAGATGTTCCATCCACCAGGTGAGAATTGAAAAATTCTATAGTGGATGAAAAGTCTTCTCAATAAAATGTGTAAACTGGTCAAGAATAAAGTTGGAGGCAGCTTCTTTCTCTCTCCTCTTTACCTTTATCTATTATATGTACAGTACCTACATTATTTATCTGTTCTTCTATACAGTGGACCCCCGGTATTCGATGGCATCGGTATTTGATAAATCCGGTATTCGATGCATTATATCACAAAAAAATTTCCTCGGTATTCGATTGAAAACCCGGTATTCGATACGATTCGTATGAGACCTGTCCACATGTGGCCTGAACTGCCCCGTTTGTGCCAGTGTTTACAAGCCAGCCAGTGTACACGCATCTAAGGATACATTCGGTACATTCCATATTATCCATATTATCACTGTGTTTGGTGCTTGTTTCTGCAAAATAAGTCACCATGGGCCCCAAGAAAGCTTCTAGTGCCAACCCTGTGGTAAAAAGGGTGAGAATTAGTATGGAAATTAAGAAAGATTTTGAAGGGTTTGGGGCTAACCCTGAGAAGCCTATGCCAGTTGTGGACTCCATTGTGCCTACTTCAAAAATTAAAGTGCAAACCTTTATGGATGAAAATCACCCTAACACAGCTATTGCAAGCCTTGCTGGTGACTATTACAATGACAATGTTGTGGCCCATTTTAGACAAATCGTAAAGGAATGGGAGGTACAGAACTCTATGGACAGATTTGTTGTGCGACAGGTCCAGTGACTCTCAAGCTGGTCCTAGTGGCATTAAAAGAAGAAGGGAAGTAACCCCGGAAAAGACTTGCTACCTCAAGTCCTAATGGAAGTGGATTCCCCTTCTAAACACTAACACCTCTCCCCTCCTCCCATCCCATCAGTCATCACCAGATCTTCATTAAAGGTAAGTGTCAATTATTTTATTGTTATTGTAATTATTCTATTGCATTAAACTTAATATTTTATGTAGTAAAATTTTTTTTTTCATACTTTTGGATGTCTTGCACGGATTAATTTGATTTCCATTATTTTTTATGAGGAAAATTGATTCGCTTCTCGATATTATCGGTATTTGATGAGCTCTCAGGAACGGATTAATATCGAATACCGGGGGTCCACTGTATATGTCTCCAAATTAAAAGTTTATTCTTTAAATAGTTAAGTAAGTTAATACCTGATGCTTACATTTCTTTTTGACAGGTGTGCAAAACTCTCCAGAATCCAAGTGTAAGGCTCCACGAGATTGAAGTTTCCCTGTTATCTGCCTTCCGTCCAATGCTGGCAGAACGGGCAATAATAGAGAAAGTGGAGGCTCAAATGGCTCACAAGGCATTTTATAGCGAAACTAAATATGATGGAGAAAGATCCCAAATCCATAAAAAGGGGAATGTCTACAAATACTTCTCACGGTAACATTTCTCTCTTTCATAATCAATCTTGGGAATTCAATCACTCTTTTCTTTATTTTTATTCGTATTATTTTGCCAATCTTTGATACTTAAATTCTTTGACCTTTTTTTATTATTTTACTGTTTTGTCTGCTCTCTCAACATATGTGAATTTTTAATGCTATGTTATTTTAAAAGGACACAAGTGCAACTAATGTGACATTTTATTGTGGCAACATTTTGCTCTCCAGGAGCTTTATCAAGCCATTACAAACAATACATGGACACAGAGGGTATATAAAGGCTCAGAGTGAGGTGCAATACTAGTGAGGTACCATTTCGATGTTCACTAGCGGTAGTAGTAGTAGTAGTAGTGACAAAAGTAATACAATATGGTAGAGCAATTAATTCGTACATGTACGAATTAATTGCTCTACCATATTGTATTACTTTTGTCACTACTACTACTACTACCACTAGTGAACATCGAAATGGTACCTCACTAGTATTGCACCTCACTCTGAGCCTTTATATACCCTCTGTGTCCATGTATTGTTTGTAATGGCTTGATAAAGCTCCTGGAGAGTGAAACGTTGCCATAATAAAATGTAACATTAGTTGCACTTGTGTCTTTTTACTTTACATATTGTCGGTAATTCTACCAACTCTATTACTATTTTATTTTCATATTAGTGTAAAAAACTATACCGCGGGTGGGGTTTGAACCCACGGTCGGAGAGTCTCAAAACTCCAGACCATTGCATTAGCCACTGGGCCAGCTAGCTTCAATAAGATTCATCTAACTAGGTATATTTCTACACTATAGGAAGGTTAGCATAGGCACCACTGTGACCACAAATGCAAGTTTTTACAGACGAATCTCCCGCTAGCATGGCCATGACGAACTCTAGCTCAGGTCCCTTCAAAGCCATCAACATGACTCATGAAATCGTAATGACGCGATTGCGAACAAACCATACCACGGGTGGGGTTTGAACCCGCAGTCAGAGAGTCTCAAAACTCCAGACCGTCACGTTAGCCACTGGGCCAGCTAGCTTCAATAAGATTCATCCAACAAGGTATATTTCTACACCATAGGAAGGTTAGCATAGGCACCACTGTGACCACAAATGCAAGTTTTTACAGATGAATCTCCTGCTAGCATGGCTGTGACAAACTCTATTTCAAGTCCCTTCAAAGCTGTTAACATGAGAGGCTTTTACAATGTTGAAGTGATGTATGGAGGGTGCAGTATATACAGAGAGAGAAGAAGACAGGTTAATAGAGAATCACTCTGTTGAGAATCACTCTGTTGCCAGAAGCATGCTGATATCAGAGTTCAGATGGCCCTCTGAACTGCAGCATCCCCCATACCTCCTTTTGAGTGCAGACACTGTACTATATTGTACTGTTCTGTTTATGGGGATATTTGCAGTTTTGAACTATATAGTATTGACACCCCTCTGGCAAGGTAGTGATGGAGTGAGTGATGGTGAAAGTGTTTCTTCTTTTTTGGGTCACCCTACCTTAGTGAGAGAAGGCTGGTTAGTTAATTTTTTTTTTTTTTTTTTCAGAAATGGTTTTGATTTTACTAGTAATTTTGGTGGTGATAGAGACTGTGGTCTGTTTACACCACACCTGCACCCACTGTTCCCTGCACATGTAAAAGAAGTTATACTGGATGGAGAGATGGTGGGCTGGAGTAAGAAACACAACAGAATTGTCAGCAAAGGTAAATCATAATTGTAACAAATGGGATTTTCTAAAAATATATAACCTAATTATAGTTTTTTTTTGGTGTGTGCTCGCATGTGTGCATGCCTGCATGTTTGCACTCACCTGTGTGTACTCACTTATATGTGGTTTCAGGCATTGAGTCTCAGCTCCTGGCCCTACCTCTCAACTTGGCACTGGCTGGATTCACTCTCTCCTAACCTTATGAACACTATTGTACTTGCTCTTAAAACTATGTAAAGAGTCTGCCTCCATTCTACTTCCTGAAGACCATGAGACTAAAACACACTTCCTGTATGTGTCATCACCTTGCTCTTTTCTGTGTTCACTTTTAATTTCTTTCTCTAACATACCCTCCCAAATTTGTCTTTCAACCTTTAAAATTTGTTTTTAGAATCCCTAAAAGAACTGTGTCATCAGAAGAGAACAACTGGGACAACTCCTACTTTGTATCAGGGCCAACATTTTTTCATCCCACACCCCTTCTCAACACCTTATCATTCACTTCTTTCACAACATCATCTATAAATATGTTAACCATGGCAACATCATGCATCCCTCCTTACATTGGAAAATAGTCCCCTTCCTCCTACATACCCTAAACTGTGCCTCACTCACTGTATAAAAACTGCTTTTAGCAACCTCCATTGTGTTAATTTTTCAATATTTAATACTGTTTGTAAGTGTAAAGGAACAGTACTGAATGTGAGGACAAGGTAAATATTCATAGTAATGAGGTAAGCTCTCTGTATGAGGTCTCACTATGCCTGAAACAGGTGGCTAAATGGTGCTGAGAGCTTGAGCAGTGTTTTGTGTGCTCGCACACATTACAGGTAGACAAATGACCATATTGCTTTAAATTGGTTTAAATGACCATTACTGGTGTTGTAAAGTTAATCCTACTGGATACTATTCCTCTGGTGGTTCATGGAACTCATCCATGGAGAGGGAATAAAAATAACAAAAATACAACCCACCATGGTTTCTCTTTAGCTGGAAACCTTATTTTATTGGATTTAATTGAAGAGAGGAATTTAGTGCCACTTTTGGTTTCTAAGAATTTCTGGATTTTCATGTTTTATTTGTCATTAAGCAAACAAACTTATTTATTTTTCAGGTGAACACATGGATGTGAAAAATTTGCGAGAGGATGGTGACTGGCATGTCTGCTTTTGTGTCTTTGACATAATTTATCTCAATGGCCAGGTAAGCTTTTTAGCTATTAGAAATTATTAATATTTTGGGGCAGTTATTAAGTACAGGTCGGCCATCACTAATCTGGCAACCAGTTAAACGGTTCCATCAGTTATCCGGCACTAATTTCGGCTAGCATAATTTCAAATTTCATCATTATACTGGCTCAAATCATTATACTGACTCAAATTTCATCATTATACTGACTCAGAAATTGTGCAGATGGTTGTAAATCCACAGCAGCAGACACGTGGAGGAGAAAGCAGTGATGAAAATGAGGAAGATGTAGCAGAAAGAGTCACTGTTGATAGTGTATTCTAACCTAACCACTCTGTAATCTGGCAAACTCACTAATCCAGCACACTACAGGTCCCAATGATGCCGGATTAGTGATGGCCGACCTGTATGTAAGTTCTAGAATTGATTTGCTCGAAAAAATTATCATTATAAATGGCTTTCTTTTGGACATTTAATTATATCAAATTGCCCTTTTACTATAATTGTATCAGAATTGTAGCCAAATGTACAGTACTGTAAACTTCTATGTAACTTCCATGTATGTTTAATAAGAAATAAAACCACTAAAAATTAGGCAATCACGTTAAAGAATTAAACGTATCTTTAAAATATTTCAAACCTACTTCTTATTAATTTTTACATAACTCCTTATAGCCATTTAGGAGATTTTTTTTTATATAAAATATGCAACAAATATTAAATACTAACCTGAATTTAAAATATTTATTATTTTCCTGCAATGTTATAATTTACTATGTGTCCTTTCATATGAGAATAATTTGTGCGAGTTTCATAAAAATCGGTTTATTGGATTTAATGAATTCATTAAGTGGATTTAATGAATTGTAGCTTCCTTGATTTAAGGAGTTGTAGCTTCCTTGATTTAAGGACTTGCAGCTAGGGTCCCTTCCTTGAATGGAATCTGATTACCTAGGCACTACAGGACCCCTATGCATTTAGCATTTCTTAATTAATGTAATAATAATAATATTAATATTAATTCTAATAATAATAATAATAATAATTCAATTCAAGTTTATTTCTACATGATGTAGTGTTTATACAGGAATGGGTGACACTTTAATGCATTCAGAAAGACTATGATTATGCGGAGCATTTTAGGCAAGCTTAACCCCAACTTAATACTACAGGGGCAGTAAACATTACATGTATGTTTTTAGGACTTGAGTCCTGGAGATGGGAAGTACAGTGTCTGCACTCTGAAGGAGGGGTGTTAATGTTGCAGTTTTATAACTGTAGTGTAAGCGCACCTCTGGCAAGACAGTGATGGAGTGAGTGATGATAAAAGTTTTCCTTTTTTGGGCCACCCTGCCTTGGTGGGAGATGGCCGATGTGTTAATAATAAAATAAGAATAATAATAATAATAATAATAATATAATTAGAACTTTTAATGTTGGTGCATGGTATATTTATCTGGTTTATAGCTGTATGGTCTATTAAGCTACCATTACACAGATAAAAAATTAGTCTGATGACACTACAGAATGGGTCCCAGAATTAAAAAAAAAATATGAATAAATAGATAAGTGGTGCATTGAGGTATATGTGGAGGCAGAAAATGTTATCTGTGGAGGCAAAGAAGGGAATGTATGAAAGTATAGTAGTACCAACACTCTTATATGGGTGTGAAGCTTGGGTTGTAAATGCTGCAGCGAGGAGGCGGTTGGAGGCAGTGGAGATGTCCTGTCTAAGGGCAATGTGTGGTGTAAATATTACGCAGAAAATTTGGATTGTGGAAATTAGGAGAAGATGTGGAGTTAATAAAAGTATTAGTCAGAGGGCAGAAGAGGGTTTGTTGAGGTGGTTTGGTCATTTAGAGAGAATGGATCAAAGTAGCGTGACATGGAGAGCGTATAAATCTGTATGGGAAGGAAGGCGGGGTAGGGGTCATCCTCGAAAGGTTGGAGGGAGGGGGTAAAGGAGGTGTTGTGGGTGAGGGGTTTGGACTTCTAGCAAGCGTGCGTGAGCGTGTTAGATAGGAGTGAATGGAAACGAATGGTATTTGGGACCTGATGAGCTGTTGGAGTGTGAGCAGGGTAATATTTAGTGAAGGGATTCAGGGAAACCGGTTATTTTATATAACCGGACTTGAGTCCTGGAAATGAGAAGTACAATGCCTGCACTCTAAAGGAGGGGTTTGGGATATTGGCAGTTTGGAGGGATATATTGTGTATTTTTATACGTATATACTTCTAAACTGTTGTATTCTGGGCACCTCTGCAAAAACAGTGATTATGTGTGAGTGAGGTGAAAGTGTTGAATGATGATGAAAGTATTTTCTTTTTGGGGATTTTCTTTCCTTTTGGGTCACCCTGCCTCGGTGGGAGACGGCCGACTTGTTGAAAAAAAAAAAATGAATGAATAACACCTAGGTAGTAGGTTGGTAGACAGCAACCACCCAGGGAGGTACTACCGTTTTCCCAGGTGAGTGTGAAACGGAAACCTGTAATTGTTTTACATGATGGTAGGATTGCTGGTGTCTTTTTTCTGTCTCATAAGCATGCAAGATTTCAGGTACATCTTGCTACTTCTATTTACACTTAGGTCACACTGCACATACATGTGCAAGCATATATATATATTTACACACCCCACTGGGTTTTCTTTTATTTTCTTGCTAGTTCTTGTTCTTGTTTATTTCCTCTAATCTCCATGGGGAAGTGGAACAGAATTCTTCCTCAGTAACCCACACATGTCGTAAGAGGCAACTAAAATGCTGGGAGCAAGGCGCTAGTAACCCCTTCTCCTGTATACATTACTAAATTTAAGAAGATAAACTTTCATTTTTTGTTTTAGGTCACCCTGCCTTGGTGGGATATGGCTGGTTTGATGAAAAAAATATAAATTACTGAGAATAGTTAAAAGCATTGAAAATGCCTTGCATAGTAGACAAGGAAAATAAATAAAATAGGATAGCCACATACTGTATAAGATCCTAAGAAAGTTATAGAAAATAAAGGAGAATTTATTCTTAGTACTATCAGCAACCGTAAAAAGCAATGTCAAAAGTAGTTTATCTGTGAAGAAATCATTTTCCTGAGTGATAAACTGATGGGATGGGATGAGATCCAAGAGGTAGTAGGTATACATCAGTTTTTATGAACTTCAAAACATTATAAAACTAAATACTGAGCCTGGAGAAACATGAGCTTAGCTCAGCTCCTGTAATTACCAATTACTGTAATTGGTTTTACAGTTAGGTGTTAGGCTACACAATGTTCTTACAGAAAATATATTTTTATCAAAGGTGAGTGCATGAATGCCTCCATACTTGCATTTCTATTTTTATCTTTTATTGAAATTACATTATTGGTATCGCTAAAAATATTCTGCTTTTCCCATTTTTGCAGGTGATGACTAACTTACCTTTATCTGAACGTTTGGACAAGCTTAGAACTGTGATCAACCCCTTGGAAGGAAGAGTTATGTTCTCCACAACAACTCTTGTCAAATCCAAGTGAGTTTTATTCAGCTGTTTTGTGTTTCTAGTACACCACATCCTCTTACTAGAAAGAAAATCTGAAGAAAACGGAATCTCTATTTTCTTCAGATTTTGTGATTGTTTTACTTACTTTTAGTGTAATGTTAAGATTAGCCTCATCACTGTTTTGAATAATTTAAAGCTTATGAATTCTTTATATTTTACCGTATCTCAGATTTAACCTATCTCACAAATAAGAACATGTCAATACATTGTAGAGCAATGAGGTTATATGTCACCTTGACCAAGATACCATAGTGTTGTTGTGTCAGACAAGTATCCTTTATTCATCTGTCTCAATATCTGGTAGTGATACTACTTTTATGTTGTGAGCGGACAACTGACCCTGCTAGAGATACATGTTTTTTCTTCCAGTTCCTGTGTTGTGAGTGAATAACTAACCCTGCTAGAGACCCACTTATTCTTCCAGTTAATATGTTGTGAGTAGATAATTTGACCCTATCTAAATATAAACACTTAAGCAGTATAATGTGATTCTTTATTGACAACATTTCGCCTATGCAGTGGGCTTTATCAATTCACAAACAGATCTACGTGGGTAAAAGGTACGGGAGTATTTATAGGATGGCATCAGGTGGAGAATGCTGCATATGACAGTCTTCCGAGTAGGGTGATAGAGTCTAGAGCCTTGGGTAGCTTTAAAAGGAAATTGGATAAGTATATGAGTAGACCATCTGCAGCATTCCTCCACTCTTATGTTCTTATGTGGGATAGTGATGAAGAAGTTTCTTGGCAAGGGGTTCAGCTATGTTATAGAAGCCATTGTTCTGGTTGAAGTTGTTGGATATACAGATAAGTGAGGATTCCAGGATTCTTCGGTATTGAGTGTTGTCTTCTCTGGCAATATGTCTTGTGTTTCTGTAGTTGATTAAATGCTTGTGTGGATTTTGGTGTTGAACACAGGCATTCCTTGGAGCGTCAGATGTGCCTGCGTACTGGTGTTCTGAAATACGTGTTTGGAGGTCTCTGGATGTTTCGCTGACATATAATTTGCTGCAGTCATTGCAAGGGATTGTGTATACCCCTGCAGAGGATTGAAGCTTGCCTTGTCTATTACTGGTAATGTCCTCGGTGGTGGTGGTGGATGTGGAGGTAGATACTTGGAATGAGGTATTGGAAAAGATGTTGGAAGTTTAGAAAATACTTACAGGCTTTTTCCTGTGCACACTCAGAATTTACAGCAGTGAGTTCCTTGAGGAGGAATGCTCTAGGCTTTTTCCTATGCACACTCAGAATTTACAGCAGTGAGTTCCTTGAGGAGGAATGCTCTCTTATTGAACAAGTATTTTCTAAACTTTACTACCCTTGTCACTTCATTAGAGACTGCAGATGACGGGCATTAAACATCTTTAACACACCCAGAGAAGACACTGCCGAGAAGAGATACATAGTCCTCCCCACCAACTCCATTGCCAAACATGTTTCCAACATCTTTTCCAGTACCTCATTCCAAGTATGTATCTACTTCCACATCCACCACCATCAAGGACATTACCAGTAATAGACAGGGCAAGCTTCAATCCTCTGCAGGGGTATGCACAATCCCTTGCAATGACTGCAGCAAATTATATGTCGGTGAAGCATCCAGAGACCTCCAAACGCGTATTTCAGAACAACAGTACGCAGGCACATCTGACGCTCCAAGGAATGCCTGTGTTCAACACCAAAATTCACACAAGCATTTAATCAACTACAGAAATGCAAGACTTATTGCCAGAGAAGACAACATTCAATACCGAAGAATCCTGGAATCCTCACTTATCTGTATATCCAACAACTTCAACCAGAACAATGGCTTCTATAACATAGCTGAACCCCTTGTCAAGAAACTTCTTCGTCGCTATCCCACATAAGAACATAAGAATGGAGGAACACCGCAGATGGTCTACTCATATACTTATCCAATCTCTTTTCAAAGCTTCCCAAGGTTCTAGACTCTATCACCCTACTCAGAACTGTCACATGCAGCATTCTCCACCTGACCCAGCATTCTCCACCTGATGCCATCCTATAAATACTTATGCACCTTTCACCCAGGTAGATCTGTTTGTGACTTGATAAAGCCCATTACGTTGGCAAAACGTTGTCAGTGAAGCATCACATTATACTGCTTGAAATGTTTACATTTCCATTGTGTCGGTATTTTATACCATTTCTAATTTGACCCTGCTGATAATCTACCGGTTGTCATCTTTAAGTACTTGCACTAAAATACACACTGAAAGGGTGTGTCTCTAGTGCCACCAAAATGAATACCCAATTCAGAATATTTTACCTTACTAAAATTTAAAGAAAAAATGTTGTTTGCAGGGAAGATGTGGTTAAGCTTTTGAATGAGGCTATAGACAACAGAGAAGAAGGTCTGGTGTTAAAAGATCCTGATTCTGTGTATCGACCAGCGTCGCGCAAAGGAGGATGGATTAAAGTCAAGCCTGAGGTAAATAAATTTTAGCTCCAGAACAGTGAGTTTTTTTTTTTTTTTGGGGGGGGGGAAGGGGAAAAATACAATCTGTAGGTTTGCATACAGTAGGCTCTCACAAGAGGCAAGAGTAATGTTCATAAAATTTGCATGTATTTTACAATATATTGATGCTAAATTATGATGATTTTTAAATTTTGGGGGGTAATTTTCAATATCTAGTTTCTTATGATTTTAGATATGTTTCAAAGTGTTTTAGTACTTGAAACATGGGGGGAAATACATCATCCAGCATTACTCCATTTGGAATATGCAGTATAAATTGGTACAAATGATTGTTTCTTATTTCTTTTGCTTGCTTTTGTCCTCTAACTAAATGTACAAGAAAATCTTGTGATATTACAATTGATTCAGGGTGTGTTACCCCTGGAAACATAGAACTAATTCACATTGACTTTCTTGGATTACCCTGGATAAAATATATTTCAGTTACAGTGGACCCTTGACTTACGATATTAATCCGTTCCAGAGAGCACATTGTAAGACGAAATTATCGTAAGTCGAATTAATTTTCCCCATAAGAAATAATGGAAATCAAATTAATCCGTTCAAGACACCCGAACGTATGAAAATTTTTTTTTTACCGTATGAAATATACATTTTCCTACACACAATATATATTGTGCATGTACTAGTGTACTAAATAAAGAATAAATGATGTTTACCTTTATTGAAGATGTAGTGATGAGACACTGTTTGTGTCTTGAGAGTGCCTTTTCCTCCTGAGTAATGTAGGTCCTGTTTGGCATTTTCTTCCAGAACAGGCCTTATCACACTGTATGCCACTACGATTCTTAAATCTCTCAAACCAACCTTTGCTGGCCTTAAATTCACCAGTATGAGCACTAGTTCCAGGCATTTTTTCCTATTCACCTGGGTGTTAGTCGACTGGTGTGGGTCACATCCTGGGGGACAAGATTAAGGACTCCAATGGAAATAAGTTAGACGGTCCTCGATGACACAATGACTTTCTTGGGTTATTCTGGGTGGCTAACCCTCTGGGGTTAATTGTTTCTCGGTATTCTCGATAAGCCACACCAACAACAGTCTCTCCACATCTTCGAGTAGTACAGCTGACCATGGTGCAACAGCAGCAGCAGCTGACTGTGGTACAGCAGCAGCAGCAGGTGACGGTGCTACAGCAGCAGCAGCAGGTGATGGTACTACAGCAGCAGCAGCAGCTGACGGTGCTACAGTAACAGCTGACTGTGGTGCAGCAGCAGCTGACGGTGCTACAGCAGCAGCTGATGGTGGTACAGCAGCAGCTGACCGTGGTACAGCAGCAGCAGCAGCTGACGGTGCTACAGCAGCAGCAGCAGTTGCCCGTGGTACAGCAGCAGCAGCAGGTGACAGTGTTACAGCAGCAGCTGACCATGGTGCAGCAGCTGACTGTGGTGCAGCAGCAGCTGACCGTGGTACAGCAGCAGCAGTAGCTGACTGTGGTGCAGCAGCAGCTGACCGTGGTACAGCAACAGCAGCAGCTGACCGTGGTACGATAGTATTTCGATAGTATTTCTCACCCTTTTTACCACAGGGTAGGCACTAGAAGCTTTCTTTGGGCCCATGGTGGCTTATTTAGCAGTTACAAGCACTAAAGACACTGGAATAATACAAAATTTATCGAATGTATGTGTGCAACTGTCTGCCCTGGCTTGTAAACAATGTCACGCTAGCTCAACTGAGGCGCTCAGGCCAGACGGACCAAACGGCTGTGTTCGGGATGAATTATGTAAGTTGAGTTTTTCAATGTAGGTTGGAGGTCAAATTTTTACGCTGACAAGCATCGTAAGTCGGTTTTATCGTAGGTTGAGGCTATCGTAAGTCGGGGGTCGACTGTAGTATATACTTTGTTATGTACTTTTTTATGACCCACATCTGTGTGCTCTCAAGAACTTTGTAAAAAAGTTCTTGAGGGCGATGTACACAGGCCTAAATAAAAACAAACTTACTTGTATAGATGCTGAGTGACATATCACACAGGTTTTTGACATGTTGTGCTGATCATTGGTACTCATGATACACTCTGTGGACCCACCTGGTCCTACATGTTTTCTTAGGCCTAACAAGGTAATAAGACACCTCAACATTTAAACTGAGGTGTAAAGGTTAAGAAACAAATTTTGTAATGAAGAAATAGATAAAATATACTATTAGGAAAAAGCAGTCACTGGAAATAAAGAAATGGATCAGACTTTGTGAGACTAATATTATTATTTGATTTTTAAAGCAGCTTTTGGAGCAGTTATAAAATAATATCCATTTGATAACTGAATTACTGCTGATACCCCTACAGTATGTGGACTCCCTGGTGCCCGAGCTGGACTTGCTCATTATTGGAGGGTACTATGGGAAGGGACGACACCAAGGGGTACTCTCACATTTTCTGCTTGGGGTTGCAGTTCCAAATGAAGAGCCAGGTGAACTGCACTACAATTCAGCATGTTATTACTAAATATCAGTATTTCAGAGAGAGAGAGAGAGAGAGAGAGAGAGAAAGAGAGAAAGAGAGAGATTATTTTGGCAAATGATAATGTTCATTAGTAGCCCCCTCCAAAAAATGCATCATTTCTTTGCCTTGCATACACAAAACCTAAGAGATTTTTGTGAAGTCTAATTATAGTATGTTGGTATACAGGTAGATGAGTCCAGCTTGATAGCTTAATAGGTGGGTACCACAACACTGAAGGTGCCAGATTCTCAACTTGTTACATTACAATATTCTCATGTTTTGACATAATTTTGAGACAGTAAGCTATCCTTAATCTGATACAGTATACTAATTCCATTGGTGTGATTAATTCTAGTTGGAAGACCTTATGCCAGGTATGCAGAGAATTTATACAGTAGACCATCGATTACGATGGTAGTTAGGTTCCTGAAACTTCAGTGTTAGACGAATCTGTGTCAAAGGAACTGAAGAGCTTATGGAAAAATAGGGTTATGTTCATGGGACCCCCCAAAAAGCCAAACAGCTTTTATTTAGGTCTCCTAATCTTACAAAAATAAAAATAATAATGCAATTGTTGTTCATTATTGTTACAATGCATGTTTTTCTGTTGCTTAAGGCTAAAAATGCAACAGAAATAATATTTCTTACCTAAAATTGTGATTGCTGGTGTTTGTTGATAATTGTGGAGGGAGTGGAGAGGCATGCTGAGGCCCATCTGGGCTGAGGTGGATGGTAGTCCAATCAGTAAGTCAGTCCAGTCAGGTGAGTCAGTAGGTCAGTCAGTCAAGTCAGTGCAGTCATTCAATTCAGTAGGTCATGCATTCAAGTCAGTCAGTCAAGTCATTCCGTAAATCAGTTAAGCTGGTCAGTCAAGTCAGTAAGTCATCAGTCAGTAAATCAGTCAAGTCAATCAAGTAGTAAGCAGTCAGTATATCAATCATTCAGTAAATCAGTAAGTCAGTCAGTAAAGTCATTCAGTAAATCAGTAAGTCAATCAGTAAAGTCATTCACTAAATCAGTCAAGTCAGTAAATTAGTCAAATCCGTAGGTCAGCCAGTCAGTTAAGTCATTCAGTAAAGCAGCTAAGTCAGTAGGTCAGTCAGTCAAGTAAGTCATTCAGTAAATCAGTCAAGTCAGTAGATCAGTCAGTCAATTAAGTCATTCAGTAAATCAGTCAAGTTATTCAGTCAGTCAAGTCAGTCAGTAAGCCAGTCAGTAAATCAGTCAAGTCATTCAGTAAATCAGGTCAGTCATTCAGTAAATCAGTCAAGTCATTCAGAAAATCAGTAAATCAGGTCAGTCAGTAAGTCATTCATCCAGCTTGTAGCGCTAAAATTTTTTCTCTACTGAGAAGCAGCACCGTTTAAATTAAATTTTACGAAGTGTAAAACGAAAATATGCCGTAGTTTGACAATAGTGTAATGGAGAAAACATTTTAATGGAATCCGTTTCAGTCATTGGTCTACTGTATATGCAAGGGTGATAGATTACATTTATTTGTGTATTTGTTATAATGCTTATAAATTGTCATTGTCCTTGCTTAATTTATGATGGGAAGGCTTACTATTTGATGTGCAAGCAATGTTATAATTTCTTTTTAAACTGTTTACTATTTTCAGGTGGAAAGCCATGTGAGTTCCACTCTTTTTGCCGTATAGGATCAGGTTACACAGCTGCAGAACTTAGTGATCTTGTAGACAAGCTTAGGCCCAATACCAGAGTTGGCCATCAACCTCGAAATATTGTTGTGTCTAGAGAGAAGCCTGATGTATGGATTGAGCCTGTCAAATCTTACATTGTACAGGTTTGCACATTTTCCATTTTTGCTCTAGTTGATTGGAAATATGCTACATTTTTTATCTTATAAGACACACTTTCTCTCTTCCCCCCCAAAAAAAAAAATAGTCCCCCCCCAAAATCCTGCATCTTACACAGCCCATGTAATTGTGGAAGCAGTGGAGTATATGTATGATAATGTACACAAAAAAAAATTCAAAAATTGAGGTGGATCACATGTAAAGGTGCGTCTTGTATGACACAAAATACGGTAATTTACAAACGTGTTTTTCTCTTATATAAACATACAGCCTTTTGGAAGTGGAGAAGAATCCTTCCTCCGTAAGCCATGCCTTTTGTAAGAGGCGACTAACATGCCTGGAGCAAGGGGTTAGTTACCCCAACTAGCCCATGCCAGGCAGTTCTAACTCACTGAAGCTCATTGCTCAGCATCAAGGAATGGTGTGCCTTATTCCTTAACCTAATATATCTGCCAAAATAAGTAGCTAAGTTATTCATTGATAGATAAGGCATATGTAAAAAACTTGAGTATCTTGAAAGATATCCAAATGTTGCACATATGCCTTATCCATCAACTTGTCAGTATTGTACACCATTAATCTAATAATAATATATTACTGCACTAAAAATATATTATATATAGGGGAGTTTTGATATTTTTTAGAGCATAACCCTATTTTTCAGATATGTTATTCACTTAGCACAAATTTACATCATTATTAGACTTATTGACCCTTTTCAAACTAGTTAACAATTTAATGTATATTTGGTTACCATTAAGGAACTGACTTTGATATGTACTTGATACGTATGTTTTTTCTAGGTAAATACGTAATTTTGTTAATGTTAAATTGAAATGGCCTTTTTTTTTTTTTTTTTAGTGGATTGAATTTAAAGTTCTAAATGAAAAGCAAAATGGGATTTCACTAGATACAAAAATCTTTGTAATTATCATGTAGTCCATATACTATTAGTTAATTACAGTACAGTGGAACCCCGGATTTTGTACTTAATCTGTTGGCGTATTGAAGAAGGCAAGGAGGGGAGAGGGAGTTGAAGTTATTGTTTGGAAGGGGAATATCCCTCCATAAGGACTTCAGGTATCAAAGCCCTCTCTGGGGTTACTTTCCTTCTTCGTCTTTTACTGGCATTGGACCCCTGTCGCACTAAAAGTCTGTCCAGAGATCTCTGTTTCTGGCGTCTCTTTAAGATTTGCCTAAAATGGGACAAGGTATTGTCACTGAACATGTTGCAGATACAGCTTGTATCAGCTTGATCCATACCAACAACAAATTCTCCACATCTTTGATTGTTTGTGATCTCTGTTTTGTTAGCATATTTACCCCTTTTGCAACTTTAGCTTCCTTGATTTCTACTTTCTTTGCCAGACTGGAACAGATTGATGATTTTAATTTCCCATACATCCTGGCATGCTCAGCTAAATGTATGCCACTTTTGTATTTTTCTACTATCTCTTTTTTGAATTCTATCATGTTTCTTACCTTCCTTAGCAAAGGGCTGGCACTAGGAACTTTCTTTGAGCCTATGGTAGCTTATTTCACAGTCGCAATCAATAAACAAGCACAAAAATTGCAAAATGTTTTGGATGAATGCTCACTCAATCAGTGACAGAGCCAGACTGAGACACGTACACATGAGAGTGGTGGTGTCCCAGGCAGGTCGACGCGTCTGATGCATACGATTTCCGGGTGGAAAAATCTGGACCAAAATTTTGCCAAAAAAGCGTTCTAAATCCAAATTGTATGATATTCGGACCATATGAAAACTGGAGTTCCACTGTATATGTAGTCCATATACTATACAGTAATTCTATGTGCTTTGATGAATGTGGAATATGAATAGTCTTAAGGAATTTTAAGGTAGTGGATACTGCAATAAAAATAATTTTCACAGGTTAGAGCAGCAGAAATTGTAAAGAGTGATTTGTATCAAGCTGGAGTGACGCTGAGGTTCCCAAGGGTTGAAAAAGTACGCTATGACAAACCCTGGTATGATACTCTTACCACAGTACAGTTAGACCAACTTGTAAAGGTAAAACTCATCAAACTTGATCTATGTGTTTTTGGTTTACTGCAAATGCTGTGAGATATATAAAAATTTTCAGTGCCATTAGTGAGCTATGTATTTTCTGATGAACTGACTTTTTGTGGTGGTGAATGTAATGATTGTGAAGACACACTTTGTGTGTTATGTTGGATGTTAACATATCTTATTTTAACTGCTAAAAAAAAAATTCTTCAGGAAGCTAGTGGAAAGTTAGCCACTAAACATTACATAGATGGCGGTGATGAACCCTCTGCCAAGCGCAAGAGTCCAACCAAAGCAGAGCATCCCTCTCTGCCTCTACACTACACACCAGCAGAAATATCAAAAGTGGTAAAGGTACGAGATAGACAGTATTGCTCAGTAAAGTTACTTTCCATGATCATCAAAATTGACAGTGTAATCTTTCTTAACCAGAATAAAACATCACTGAGCGTGTGAATTATAAAAAATTCCAAGTAATAAAAATTGACACCTCTTATATTCAAATTTAAAACTTTAAATTAAAAAAAAAAGATGTTCTGATACAAATTAGAAATTTTCACTTTTTTATGGAAAATCTAAGATTTTGAATATCTTTCTAAATTCAGAGTTTTGGAAATCATTCTCTCCAAATCAGAAAATTCTGGTTTACATATGTACTCCAAGTTTAAATATTTTTTTTTCTGACTCACAGTAAGACCCCACATTACATTGTGCTTTAATTAATGTAGATTATGTATAATGAAAATATTGGGTTAGGTTCATTATTCCTCATAAAAAGCCAAACAATTTTTTTTTTAAATTTCTTATTTTGTCAAAAATAGTGAAGGTTTTGACACCTTACATTGTAGATATCGTTGCTTGTTGATTTAAGAAAATGTATGTTATGTGCCCAGATCCTAAAATAAAAATAATTTTATTTCTAAAATGGTAGGGAATCATTTTGCAAAGGTAATGACATGAAAATTTTAAAATTTGATGCAATATTTATGGACTTACACAGGCGGAAAGTTGGAGGTCAAAAAGTAACATTGCCCACCAAGAAATATCCAGTAAAACCATGAAAACCATGCCCTGTGTGGACTGAATGATTTTTTATGTATACTTTGTACACTCCCTGTACAGACCCATTCTTTCACGTGTAGGCATAAAATTTGCTGCTCGCAGCAAATTTAAGGGTATTATGAATTATGCGTAGATCTGCTTAAACATTATTGGTCTCAATCACATAGATCTACTTGTCCAACAGTGAAAGGGTTAATAAGGCCTGGGGAGAAAGCTGTTGTTTGATGCAGTATGATGCTTATTCCTTCCAGAGAAACTGGGCATGGCATTTGATTCAGAGAAAACAGAGAAGGTTAATGTGATGTCAGTGATTATTATAAATTTAATATACACTCTTATCAGTATAAAATACAGCCTCTCCTCACTTAGCGACGTACTCGTTTACTGGCACCTCAGACTTATGATGGGCTCTCTGACCAGTATTCATACCTAAATAGTGTATATTAGAGCTGATTTCCTCTATTCTCTTTATTTCAATATAAAGTACAATACTATATAATGTTTTATATCTGTAGTGGAGGCATGCCTCTGGCAAGACAGTGATGGAGTGAATGATGAAAGTTTTTCTTTTTTGGGCCACAATGCCTTAGTGGGAAATGGCTGATGTGTTAATAAAAAAGTAATACTGTATAAACATTTAAAAATATACCAGAAATGTTATCTATGGTGCAAAGGCGATATTAAAACAATATCAAAGATGGTTGACACAAACTCACTAACATTATAGTATGCTCATCAATTAGCGACGAATTTGTTTAACGACGTACATAGTCTTAGGAACAGAACTCTGTTGTTAAGTGAAAAGAGGCTGTATGCAAAACAAGTAACAAATATTTTACCCTGCCTTAAATTCTTTGTTTTACTTGCTTGTTGATGCAGAGGTGTTTGGAGGTGGTTATATGACTACTTAGTAGATGGAATAGGATTGCTGAAACACATGAAGGATTTAAGAAGGGTAGGGGGTGTGCAGACCAAGTGATTATATTGAAGCTTATTAGTGAACAGTACTTAGATAATGGTAAAGCACTTTTTTGCTTAACTCCAATATTGCTCTCATACTTTTTGTACTGTATATAATATATAGGGAAGTATCCACCAGTATCTGTCTCCTTTCAGAAAGATGAGATACTTTCAGGCCTGGAAATGTGTGTGATGGGGCATAGTGATGAGTATACAAAGCAGCAACTGGAAACGATGATAGTTGAACATGGAGGCTCTTTCACCCAACACCCAGGTAAGCTTTTGAAAAAGTGTTTTTTTTAATATTTCAAGCTTGGTAAAAAGATTTATTTACTTTGTTATAGTTAGGATCATCTGTTGGAATCATCCCTAAATCTGTGCTGGTTTTCTGTAAAGAATCTTTTCCACTTGCTTCAACATCCTCTTTGTCACTATCTTCTCCAGAACTTTTGACAGTATGCATGTTAGAGATACTGGCCTGTAATTTTTTTTTTTTTTACACAGGGTTTGACAAGGTTAAGGATCTCTAGCACTAGCTCTTTTTATATATGGAGACCACATTTGCCCTTTTCCAACTTTCTGGCAGATGTTCTGATTGGAATTATTGGTTTAATACCTTCTCTCACCACCTATTGAAATATGTTGTCTAGTCCCATTGCATGTGTTACATTAAGCTCACCTAGTATCTTCCTCACTGATATTGTTATGCTGATGCTTTCAAGCATGTGTTGATGTGTTCTAACAACAGTGCCTGCCTTCTCATAGCTCCCCACTTTTGTCTTTAAAGATCTCTTTGAATCTTTTGCTAAGCTCTGCATATTTCTGTTATTCTCTGCCACTTCCCAGCCTTCTTCAGCCTCATCACTTGATCCTTCACGGTTATCTTTTCTTATGTGGCTGTAGAGTAAATTTAGTTCTGTTTTTGTCTTTAATGATATATCATTGTTAAGTTATTCTTCAGATTTCATTCTTTTTCTTAATTATCCATTTCTAACTCTACTGCTTGTTTCTTAGATTTCTCTGGTTTTATTTGCTATATATTTCTTCCATGCCATCTTACACCACTCCTTGGCCTCTGTATTCCTAATTGAACCAAGGGCTCTCTATATTTTTCCTGTTTCTTTTCCTCATAATTGTTATGAATCTTTTCTTTATCTCTTAGCATCTTGACTCTTAATATTGTCATTCTTTCTTGTACATCTTTGCCCTTCAGTTCCCTTCCCATTACATTTCTCTCAGAAATTTCTCATGCTGTCTTAGTCCTCTTTTCTCTAGTCCCATTTACTCTTACACTCACTTCCTCATTTCTCTCTTCATTGCCCTTTCCACCAAACACTCAAAACTTAATTTTGCATGATTGCTGGCACCTATTGATTGTCCATAAGTAATTTCATCTTTTTTTTTTTTTAACAAGTCGGCCATCTCCCACCGAGGCAGGTTGACCCAAAAACAAAGAAAATCCCCAAAAAGAAAATACTTTCATCATCATTCAACACTTTCACCTCACTCACACATAATCACTGTTTTTGCAGAGGTGCTCAGAACACAACAGTTTAGAAGCATATACGTATAAAGACACACAACATATCCCTCCAAACTGCCAATATCCTGAACCCCTCCTTTAGAGTGCAGGCATTGTACTTCCCATTTCCAGGACTCAAGTCCGGCTATATAAAAATAACCGGTTTCCCTGAATCCCTTCACTAAATATTACCCTGCTCACACTCCAACAGATCGTCAGGTCCCAAATACCATTCATCTCCATACACTCCTATCGAACACGCTCACGCACGCCTGCTGGAAGTCCAAGCCCCTTGCCCACCAAACCTCCCTTACCCCTTCCTTCCAACCTTTTCGAGGACGACCCCTACCCCGCCTTCCTTTCCCTACAGATTTAAACGCTCTCCATGTCATTCTTCTTTGATCCATTCTCTCTAAATGACCAAACCACCTCAACAACCCTTCTTCAGCCCTCTGACTAATACTTTTTTTAACTCCACACCTTCTCCTAATTTCCACACTCCTAATTTTCTGCATAATATTTACACCACACACATTGCCCTTAGACAGGACATCTCCACTGCCTCCAACCATCTCCTCGCTGCTGCATTTCATCTTTTTTTTTTCTTTTTTTTTTTTTCAACAAGTCGGCCGTCTCCCACCGAGGCAGGGTGACCCAAAAAAGAAAGAAAATCCCCAAAAAAGAAAATACTTTCATCATCATTCAAAACTTTCACCACACTCACACATTATCATTGTTTTTGCAGAGGGCTCAGAATACAACAGTTTAGAAGTATATACGTATAAAGATACACAACATATCCCTCCAAACTGCCAATATCCCAAACCCCTCCTTTAAAGTGCAGGCATTGTACTTCCCATTTCCAGGATGCAAGTCCGACTATATGAAAATAACCGGTTTCCCTGAATCTCTTCACTAAATATTACCCTGCTCACACTCCAACAGATCGTCAGGTCCCAAGTACCATTCGTCTCCATTCACTCCTATCTAACACGCTCACGCATGCTTGCTGGAAGTCCAAGCCCCTCACCCACAAAACCTCCTTTACCCCCTCTCTCCAACTCTTTTGAGGACGACCCCTACCCCGCCTTCCTTCCCCTATAGATTTATATGCTTTCCATGTCATTCTACTTTGATCCATTCTCTCTAAATGACCAAACCACCTCAACAACCCCTCTTCTGCCCTCTGACTAATACTTTTATTACTCCACACCTTTTCCTAATTTCCACACTCCGAATTTTCTGCATAATATTTACACCACACATTGCCCTTAGACAGGACATCTCCACTGCCTCCAACCGTCTCCTCGCTGCTGCATTTAACACCCAAGCATTTCATCTATGTTATAATAATCATTTTGTGTGAAAATCAGATCAAGTTTCACTGCTTCATCTTCCCTTTCCCTCTCACTCTTGTTGTGTCATTCCTGGAGATGGGAAGTACAGTGCCTGCACTCTGAAGGAGGGGTGTTAATGTTGCAGTTTAAAAACTGTAGTGTAAAGCACCCTTCTGGCAAGACAGTGATGGAGTGAATGATGGTGAAAGTTTTTCTTTTTCAGGCCACCCTGCCTTGGTGAGAATCGGCCAGTGTGATAGTAAAAAATAAAAAAAAATACTTTCATAAGTTTTGGTCTCCATATTTCTGGTCATTCCTGGGGGGTCCCAGTTTTCTCAGGCAGTCTAATTATGATTGAAATCTTATAATTTCAATATGTAAATTACTGTTATATAACCAATGATTCTTATAATTTCAATATGTAAATTACTGTTATATAACCAATGATTCTTATAATTTCAATATGTAAATTACTGTTATATAACCAATGATTCTTATAATTTCAATATGTAAATTACTGTTATATAACCAATGATTCACATATTGGTATATGACCACTGCCACTAATAGTGACAGTGGTTATACCATGATCACCATTAGTGTGTTTTTGCCTCTCCTGACATTACAATACCTGCTGTATAGTCCCTACAATCTGCTGTTTCCACTTCTCCGAGTTCCCCAAATCTCCAGTGGTTCCTAGCCATCAGAGTTACTTCTGTTTTTCTTTTATTTTTCCTTATTTTTCTTAATGTTAGGTAGCCCTATGGGAGTATTGCATTTGTTATTATTCCTGAGACTTTTGTCTCTGTAATAGCTACAGTGTCAGGGCTTTCCTCTCTTCTTTTTTTAAGAATTCTCATTTGTTGGAGAGACTATCTACTTTTGCATGCCACACTTTGAGTCTCTTGTCTTTTACTGTTTTCTGGGCATACTGTTTTCTTACTTCACTTCTGAATCTTTGTGGAGTGTTGAGGCATTTCCTGAACTCATTTTTTTTTCCTTGTTGATCCATCCCTTTTATGATAGGTGTTCTATTCCTTGTCCCATTCCTCCACTGCTTCCTTCACCTTTCTCATGTCTCTCTTTCTACCTTTCATTCCTCCCAAACATTTGGCAATATATTGTGTTGAAGTTACAGGATTACTTCAGATTTTATTTTTGTCTTGCTACCCTATTATTGTTTCTGTTCTTATAAACAGAATTTGCAATGAGCTTGTCTTTCCCTCTGTATTTGCTCCTACCCTTTAAAAACAAAAATTTTGCTTGTTTATTTTTTATAAAATCTTCAATTTTTTGTTCTTTCTGCTTTTGTACATTTCTCTCAGGTTTTCTTCCTTCATTTAAGCTGAACTGTATGATAGATCTGTACCACATATCATCCTCTTCTTGTTCCGTCACGGTTGCCTTCTCCACCTTTCGCTCCTCATGGTCATTTGCCATTTCTAATTTCTCTTTTCTCCTGACCTGCAGAGCATATGTTGGTTATCCACATCCTTTACTTTCCTGATATAATTCTTTCCCTGTCTCTGGTCTCCATTCAGCTGATTCAGCACTTAGCCTTTCTGCTTCCTGGCTTAGCACCCTAACTTCATTTTCAAGGTCTTTCTCTTTCTCTTCCTTTCATCATTCCTGTTTGTTTAAATTTCCTCATTCTTTTCCCTCAGACTCTTCCTTAAAATTGATGAGTTAGCAAGGATGTTGGGGGGCTGGAGGCTGGGAGGGTATTTCATTGCCTGGTGAGGAGTATACATGTACTACTGAAATTTTACACGTTATTTTATTTTTAAGACTTATAGCACAAAATAAAAAACTTTTGCACTGTGACATTTTGGTTGTATTTTTTAATAGCATTTACACAAAATTGCACCATGTTATGTCATGGTATAAGTGGGTTTTTTGGTTTTGTATAATTTTAATTATACTTTTACTCTTGTGTATTCCAGGTCAGAACACACACTGCATTATTACAAACACTGTATCAATACGTGTGAAGAACTACATCCAGTCAGGTAAACACAACATTATACGACCTTCTTGGATTGAGGCATGTTCAAAAAGCAGTCGTTTATTGCCCTGGGGTCCCTTAGATGTGATACATGTACAAGATAAGGAAAATGAGCACATGAAAGAATTGTTTGATGAGTTTGGAGACAGCTATACTGAACCAGCAGATGAGAAGAGCCTCAAAAGAATTATGGACAACATGAAGAATGAGGTGAGTTCAGGATCAGGTTCTGACCTCCACAGTAAATATCATGCATTTGTTTGGTTTAGACTTCTGTATTGACTTTCATCATTACTACAGCCATCTTCATATAAAAAAAAAAATTGTAGAAAGAGCTTTTATTTGGACCACTTTTTTATTTGTTAAGACACTTATTGAGTTATGCAGAGGATACTGTGATGTCAGCTCACTTTTGGCATGACAGTAATTGAATGAATGGTGAAAGTATTTCCTCCTCTTTTGGTCACTCTGCCTTGGTAGGAGATGGTTGGGGTGTAAAAAAAAAATTTACATTACACCCAAATTACCATGACAGTGTCCTCCATCGAAAACACTGCAAGAATCCAAGCGGACGTCAACCAAATCTTCAACTGGGCAACTCAAAACAATATGAAATTCAGTGAAGAGAAGTTTCAACTACTCAGATATGGAAAACTTGAGGAAATTAAAACTGTATCAGGGTATACAGCAAATTCTAACCATACAATAGAGCGAAAAAGTAATGTGAAGGACCTGGGAGTGATACTGTCAGAGGATCTCGCCTTCAAAGACCACAACAATGTATCTACTACATTTGCTAGAAAAATGATAGGATGGATAATGAGAACCTTCAAAACCCTTCAAAACTAGGGACACCAAGCCCATGATGACTCTCTTCAAATCACTTGTTCTCTCTAGGCTGGAATACTGCTGTGCACTGACTGCCCCCTTCAAGGCAGGCAAAATTACTGACCTGGAGAGTGTACAAAGAACTTTCATGGCACACATAAGTACAATAAGGCACCTAAATTACTGGGAACAGATAAAGTTCCTTGATTTGTATTCCCTGGAATGCAGGCAAGAGAGATACATGATAATATACACTTGGAAAATCCTAGAGGGATTATTAGCAAAATTGCACACAAAAATCACTCCCTATGAAAGCAAAAGACTCGGCAGGAGATGCAACATTTCTCCAATGAAAAGCAGGGGCACCATGAGAGACAACACAATAAGTGTCAGGGGCTCAAGACTATTCAACTGCCTCCCAGCATACATAAGGGGGATTACCAATAGACCCCTGGCTGTCTTCAAGAAGGCACTGGACTGGCACCTAAAGTCAGCACCTGACCAGCCGGGCTTTGGTTCGTACATCAGTTTGCATGTGGCCAGCAGTACCAGCCTGGTTGATCAGACCTTGATCCACCACGAGGCCTGGTCTCAGACTGGGTCGCAGGGGCATTGACCCCCAAAATCCTCTCCAGGTATACTCCAGGTATATACTAGTCCTGACTCGGTGAGATATGGCTGGTTTATTGAAAGAAGAAGATATACTAGTTAGAGAGAAAGAGGTAAGGTAAGTGAAATTGTTGGAGTTTGGTGAATCATGGGTCTGTGGAGCACTGTGGAAGGTACACTGTTCTGCTGTGTTGAAATACTCTGGTTCCTGGATGTTAGGTTTACCTTATTCCTATGCAACTTATTTGCTAAGAATGTCCTAATAATATGGTTTGTGCCAGTCAGGGCCGTCTGTAAGCCGATTGGACCGATTGCTCCCAGTTGGGCTCCGTGCCTGAGGGGGCCCCGCTTGTCAAGTACACACAACAACACGAAGTAAAAAAAAGAGGGCATCTGGAGAAAGGAGTTTTTTCAAGCTGAAACTAATCAAAACTTACTTGAGATCATCAATTCAGCAATAACGTTTGAACAGTTTGGCGATTATATCCATTGAATCTGAAATTAGCAGGAGTTTACGCTTTGACAAAATTTTAAAGACTTTGCAGAGAAAAAAGCAAGAAAAATAACTTTCTCCTTTAAAAGAGACTGGAGAAATATATGAGTGGGAGGGGCTGGGTTTGATTGGTGTCATGGGTATGGGAGTAAATTCTTGAGGAATTTAGGGTAGGGGTGGTTTTGATAAGGACCTGCCTTGTATAGGCCAGTAGGCCTTCTGCAGTGTTCCTCCATTCTTATGCTTTTATGTCCTTAAAAGGCAATAAATTATTAATATGACTCATTTATAGTTTATGAATGTTAAGTGATTTTTAGAAGTCCAAAAAAGATAATTTGTTTCCAAGAGTGCACTTAAATTCTGATTTTTTTTCTGAACAAAAATAAATTAATATTTTTAATAAATCATTTTACAGTCACTAAAGCAAGTGGTATTGTAGCTATGTACTTTTCAGAGGTAATATACAAATTTTGTTTGTTACTTGTACACTTACATGTATGCAATTTTATATTAAAATATAGCTTACATCTGTTTGATATGTTAACTCGCATACATTTTTTAAGCGCAGTTTGATTGTTTTCCATACATAGGGCCCACCAAAATTGTTCCCAATTGGCCCCCACACCTTTTAAGACTGGCTCTGGTGCCAGTGGTTTGGCATACATTGTAGATAACTTAGCTATGGGAGGTTCCAAGAGATATACAAGTGTGTAACAACTATTCATGTTTGTGAACAAACCCTTGCTGGAAAAATTGTTGATGATGTCTGTACTAGGGGGTATTATAGCAGTCATGACAGTTGTAGTATGAATGACATATAAAGCCTCTTTGGTCCTAGAGGCTTTATATGTACATGTTCTTTCAAGAAATTCACATGTGCTTTCACACCAAGCCATAAATGTAATAACATTAACTATTAGGAATCATAAGAAATTAGTGAGATTATTCACTTGTGATTTTCAGTCACTTTGTCAATATATTTTCAGTCGTGGACCCCCCTGTCGGTAGATGAAATGTGTAAGCTGGATGAACAAATATGTGAACCAGGAGATGCACGAGCTCTCTTCAGACGCATAAAGGCATTTTTTGTAAGTTTTATCTTGTACTGGCATCCAGATAAGTTAGTTTTTTATAGTTCAGTTGAACACTTTTAAAGTGATTCACTATGTGTAGTGCTCTTTACTTTGCATCAGTCTTCAGAAGTGTAACTCATGTTACATCTTAGTCAAAGTCAAGAGCATAGTTTGGAGCAATATCTTATAGGTAATATGTTTGACTTACTGCTGAAAATATACCTTACAGTATCAGTCATTATCAGTGATTAATCATATGCTTTCCAGGCATTGTATTCAGTTTCTTTTAAAGAAATTTGCACTGGTATATTTATTAGTAAAACTAGTTGGAATTCTGGGTTTGGGGCATGAAGATGGCCAGAGTATAGCCCCATCTCCATTTTACTGTTTTAAACTGGGTTTACTTAAAGTGGATTCACATATTTCTGATGTTAAAAGGATAAATGACTTAAAAATTGGCTTCTACACATTAACATTAATTCTGTCTTAAACATGGTTCCAGAATTAGGGTGGCAGCCAATACCTTTACACTTATATCCCACTTGAAAATCTGAGGTTTTATTGTTTTTCACATTCTCATAGCCTCTGTTGAACACTACACATTAGCATTAATGATATTGAAGTAAATTATATTAGCTGTATCTAACTATTTCAGTGTAATAATAAAGAACATCAGCTTGCTGCACTCGCACTGAGGCTTCATGGTGGCTCAGTCAGTGGTACCCTGAGTGATGCGACTCATGTAGTGTCTGGGTGAGTATCATTTTTCTATTACTTTATTAAAATCCTAGTTTATATAAAGAATTTACAAAATTATCATTAATTATCATTAATTCACTTTTATTTTTTTTAACACAATGGTCGTTTCCCACTGAGACAGGGTGACCAAAAAAAAAAAAAGAAAAACCCAAAAAGAAAGAAAAATACTTTCATTATCATTTAACACTTTCACCATCACTCACACATAATCATTGTCTTTGCAGAGGTGCTCAGATACGACAGTTCAGAAGTCCCTCCAGACTGCCAGTATCCCAAACCCCTCCTTTAAAGTGCAGGCATTGTACTTCCCATTTCCAGGACTTAAGTCCAGCTAACCGGTTTCCCTGAATCCCTTCACAAAATATTACCCTGTTTACACTCCAACAGATTGTCAGGCCCCAAAAACCATTCATCTCCATTCACTCCTATCTAACATGCTCACGCATTCTTGCTGGAAGTCAAGGCCCGTCACCCACAAAACCTCCTTTACCCCCTTCCTCCAACCTTTTCAAGGACAACCCCTACCCCACTTTCCTTCTCCTACAGAGGTATATGCTCTCCAAGTCATTCTACTTTGTTCCATTCTTTCTAAATGACCAAATAACTTCGACAACCCCTCTTCAGCCCTTTGACTAATACTTTTAGTAACTCCACACCTCCTAATTTTCACACTCCGAATTCCCTGCATAATATTTACACCACACATTGCCCTTAGACAAGACATAGCCACTGCCTCCAGCTACCCCCTCGCTGCAGCATTTACAACTCAAGCTTCACACCCATATAAGAGTGTTGGTACCACTATACTTTCGTACATTCCCTTCTTTGCCTCCATGGATAATCTTTTTGTCTCCACAGATACCTCAATGCACCACTCACCTTTTTTCCTTCATCAATTCTATGGTTAACCTCATCTTTCATAAACCCATCCACTGACAAGTCAACTCCCAAATATCTGAAAACATTCAGTTCTTCTGTACTCCCTCTCTCCAATGTGATATCCAATTTTTCTTTATCTAAATCGTTTGATACCCTCATCACCTTACTCTTATCTATGTTCACTTTCAACTTTCTACCTTTACACACCCTCCGAAACTCATCCACTAACCTTTGCAGGTTTTCTTTTGAAACTCCCAAAAGCACAGTATCATCAGCAGAAAGTAACTGTGTCAACTCCCATTTTGTATTTGATTCCCCCAAATTTAATCCCACCCCTCTCCCCAATACCCTAGTATTTACTTCTTTTACAACTCCATCTATAAATACTGTATATTAAACAGCCATGGTGACATTACACATCTGTGTCTAAGACCTACTTTTACCGACCGGGAAGTAATCTCCCTCTCTCCTACACACCCTAACCTGAACCTCAGTATCCTCATAAAAACTCTTTACAGCATTTAGTAGTTTACTGCCTATTCCATTTACTTGCAACATCTGCCACATTGCTCCCCTATCCACTCTATCATATGCCTTTTCTAAATCCATAAATGCAATGAAAACTTCCCTACCTTTATCTAAATACTGTTCACATATATGCTTCAATGTAAACACTTGATCTACACATCCCCTACCCACTCTAAAGCCTCCTTGCTCATCTGCAATCCTACCCTCTGTCTTACCTCTTAATTCTTTCAATAATAACCCTACTGTACACTTTACCTAGTATACTCAGTAAACTTATTCCCCTATAATTTTTACAGTCTCTTTTTCTCCCCTTCCCTTTCTGTAAAGGAACTATGCATGCTCTCTGCCAATCCCTAGGTACCTTACCCTCTTTCATACATTTATTAAACAAAAACACCAACCACTCCAACACTATCCCCCCCTGCTTTTAACATTTCTGTCATGATCCTGTCAGTTCCAGCTGCTTTACCCCCTTTCATTCTACTTAATGCCTCATGCACCTCCCCCCCACTCACATCCTGCTCTTCTTCACTCCTAAAAGATGTTATACCTCCCTGGCCAATGCCTCCCTTTCTTCATCGACATTTAAAAGTTTCTCAAAATATTCCCACCATCTACCCATTACCTCCAGTTCCCCATCCACTAACTCCCCTACTCTGTTTTTAACTGACAAATCCATGCGTTCCCTAGGCTTTCTTAACTTGTTTATCTCACTCCATTATCACACCAGCGATGATAATATGAAGCCGATTAGATGAGTCATTCTTTAGTTATTGTGTGGATTCAATTCCAATTTTTTTACTATTTTACTACTATGACAAATTTTCCTGTATGCAAGCAAAACTTAATGAATACTATCTTGGCCCTAAGATCCATCAGCCATTAAATATTGAAGCCATTTAGAAAAGGTAAACTGAAATTCATTTAATGGAAATGAAGATTTCCCAATATTTCACATTTTTTTTTTTTTTTTTTCAACAAGTCGGCCGTCTCCCACCGAGGCAGGGTGACCCAAAAAAGAAAGAAAATCCCCAAAAAGAAAATACTTTCATCATCATTCAACACTTTCACCACACTCACACATTATCACTGTTTTTGCAGAGGTGCTCAGAATACATCAGTTTAGAAGCATATACGTATAAAGATACACAACATATCCCTCCAAACTGCCAATATCCCAAACCCCTCCTTTAAAGTGCAGGCATTGTACTTCCCATTTCCAGGACTCAAGTCCGACTATATGAAAATAACCGGTTTCCCTGAATTCCTTCATTAAATATTACCCTGCTCACACTCCAACAGATTGCCAGGTCCCAAGTACCATTCGTCTCCATTCACTCCTATCTAACACGCTCATGCACGCTTGCTAGAAGTCCAAGCCCCTCGCCCACAAAACCTCCTTTACCCCCTCTCTCCAACCCTTTCGAGGATGACCCCTACCCTGCCTTCCTTCCCCTATAGATTTACATGCTTTCCATGTCATTCTACTTTGATCCATTCTCTCTAAATGACCAAACCACCTCAACAACCCCTCTTCAGCCCTCTGACTAATGCTTTTATTAACTCCACACCTTCTCCTAATTTCCACACTCCGAATTTTCTGCATAATATTTACACCACACATTGCCCTTAGACAGGACATCTCACTGCCTCCAACCGTCTCCTCGCTGCTGCATTTACCACCCAAGCTTCACATCCATATAAGAGTGTTGGTACTACTATACTTTCATACATTCCCTTCTTTGCCTCCATAGATAACGTTTTTTGACTCCACATATACCTCAACGCACCACTCACCTTTTTTCCCTCATCAATTCTATGATTAACCTCATCCCTCATAAATCCATCCGCCGACACGTCAACTCCCAAGTATATCTGAAAACATTCACTTCTTCCATACTCCTCCTCCCCAATTTGATATCCAATTTTTCTTTATCTAAATCATTTGATACCCTCATCACCTTACTCTTTTCTATGTTCACTTTCAACTTTCTACCTTTACACACATTCTCAAACTCATACACTAACCTTTGCAGTTTTTCTTTAGAATCTCCCATAAGCACAGTATCATCAGCAAAAAGTAACTGTGTCAATTCCCATTTTGAATTTGATTCCCCAAAATTTAATCCCACCCCTCTCCCGAACACCCTAGCATTTACTTCCTTTACAACCCCATCTATAAATATATTAAACAACCATGGTGACATTACACATCCCTGTCTAAGACCTACTTTTACCGGGAAGTAGTCTCCCTCTCTTCTACACACCCTAACCTGAGCCTCACTATCCTCATAAAAACTCTTAACAGCATTTAGTAACTTACCACCTATTCCATATACTTGCAACATCTGCCACATTGCTCCTCTATCCACTCTATCATATGCCTTTTCTAAATCCATAAATGCAATAAAAACTTCCCTACCTTTATCTAAATACTGTTCACATATATGCTTCAATGTAAACACTTGATCTACACATCCCCTACCCACTCTGAAGCCTCCCTGCTCATCCGCAATCCTACATTCTGTCTTACCTCTAATTCTTTCAATTATAACCCTACCGTATACTTTTCCTGGTTTACTCAGTAAATTTTTCCTCTATAATTTTTACAATCTCTTTTGTCCCCTTTCCCTTTATATAAAGGGACTATACATGCTCTCTGCCAATCCCTAGGTACCTTCCCCTCTTTCATACATTTATTAAACAAAAGTACCAACCACTCCAACACTATATCCCCCCCTGCTTTTAACATTTCTGTCATGATCCCATCAGTTCCAGCTGCTTTACCCCCTTTCATTCTACGTAATGCCTCACGTACCTCCACCACACTTACATTCTGCTCTTCTTCACTCCTAAGAGATGGTATACCTCCCTGGCCAGTGCATGAAATTACCGCCTCCCTTTTTTCCTCAACATTTAAAAGTTCCTCAAAATATTCTCACCATCTACCTAATACCTCCCTCTCCCCATCTACTAACTTCCCTACTCTGTTTTTAACTGACAAATCCATACTTTCCCTAGGCTTTCTTAACTTGTTTAACTCACTCCAAAATTTTTTCTTATTTTCATTAAAATTTCTTGACAGTGCCTCTCCCACTCTATCATCTGCTCTCCTTTTGCACTCTCTCACCACTCTCTTCACCTTTCTTTTACTCTCCATATACTCTGCTCTTCTTATAACACTTATGCTTTGTAAAAACCTCTCATAAGCTATCTTTTTCTCTTTTATCACACCCTTTACTTCATCATTCCACCAATCACTCCTCTTTCCTCCTGCCCCCACCCTCCTATAACCACAAACTTCTGCCCCACATTCTAATACTGCATTTTTAAAGCTATTCCAACCCTCTTCAACCCCCCCACTACTCATCTTTGCACTAGCCCACCTTTCTGCCAATAGTCGCTTATATCTCGCCCGAACTTCCTCCTCCCTCCGTTTATACACTTTCACCTCCCTCTTACTTGTTGTTGCCACCTTCCTCTTTTCCCATCTACCTCTTACTCTAACTGTAGCTACAACTAAATAATGATCCGATATATTTTACATATAATTTTACATATAAAATATCTTGAATTTCACTCTCTGCTGTTGCTGAATTAGGAGGCATCGTTTTTGAACACTTGGAACTTACTCAAGCCATTTCAGGATGCTGAAAATGGATTCAACAACTTTGGTTATAGGATATGTGAACATGCAAATTGTTCCAAGAGTTTGGTCCTCATTACTGTATACAAGCAATGAAAATTTGAAGCCAGTTGGATAAGGTGTTCTCATATTTTGAGCAAAATGTATTCGAAAAGTTGGGGGAAAATGAAAAAAAAAAAAAAATTCACACCTCTTACAAGGTTCCCCTTCAGGGATACCTAATAAATGTTTATTATCCATCAGTGCTATATGGCATATTATTATTAGTATTATAATGAAAAGCAAGTGCTAAACCCACTTGGGTCATACAGCATATGACATAGCCATTATTTTTTAACCACACTAGCTTGAAACCTTATATAATTATAATCCCTTGCAGGAAAGAGAGCAGCCATCGTCCAAGTGAGATGCACGGACAACACCTGGTGACCTCAGATTGGATTTATACGTGCATAGAGAAGGGCAAGCTACAAGAGGAAAGATATTTCATGCCTAAGATAAAAATTTTAAATTAATGAACAGTTGTATACTGATTTTTTTAATTTTAAGCCATTTTAGATTTATCTTGATACAGTGGACCCCCGCTTACCGATCACCTCCCAATGCGACCAATTATGTAAGTGTATTTATGTAAGTGCGTTTGTATGTGTATGTTTGGGGGTCTGAAATGGACTAATCTACTTCACAATATTCCTTATGGGAACAAATTCGTTCAGTACTGGCACCTGAACATACTTCTGGAATGAAAAAATATCGTTACCCGGGGGTCCACTGTATTTGTTAGTTATACCACCATATGTTTGTAAAGTTAACATACAAAAGAATATGCCTTTATTGTTTCTTTATACAGTACAGCACTTTTATGTGGTTGGCATATAAGGAAAGAATATTTAGCAAGTAAATTCAGTACATTTTGATCATTAACTCAAATTTGTAAAGTACAGTAAACCTTCCATATAATGGACCTCTATATAACAGGTTCTGAAAATATAAAACAAATTTCTCTAGGTCCTTCACTTTGGATGAAGTCTGTTGGTTACAGAATTGTTCATTATCATTACACTCAAGGCATAGCAACCTTGTCTCTCTCCATCACAGTTGCCATTATCTGCCTTCTGCTTTTACTGATTATTCTGTTATATGGAGGTTTTACTGTATAAACAATGTATGCACAGTATTTGATTGCCAGTTTCATTTTAATTTTTTAATTTACTGTTTTTAAAAATAAAATTGGCACTGAGAAAGCTCCCATTTGCTTTGTCCAAAGAACAGAATGGTGACACATCAGGATCCTTCCATTTTCATTGTTTAGGTATAAAAGTGCCTGATTTGTAATATCAAGAAGGAATAGGGTGCCATAGATGTAGGGTAGTACTGTACACGTAATTTTTTACCTTGTAATACAGTATTTCAGGTACAGTATTACTTAAAAATGTTTATACATGTATATAACATGAATGCTGTTAAATGCTTTACACTGATAATGATAATTTTATTTCCTAATAAGATACATTAGTTACAACATGCTCCATATTGCTGGCTATTAGTCAGCCTGCACCGATAAGATAAGGTGGGATGGTGGGGGATACTTTCACTTAAATTTCCATTAAATTTATATTAAAAGTTATAAATTACACCATGATCTTTATTTTTTTTTTTAAATTTAATCATATTGCCAACCAATAATACATTATTACTTCCTTAATTGCTTTCTAATTCTCTTGAAATTCAATTTCAAATGAACAGTAAATTTAAATTTTAGATTTTTCACCAAATGTTCAATTTCCACTAAAATTTGTACTTTATGTACAGTATTTTGTAATTTTTTGTGTACAATACATTTATATATACAGTGGAACCTCAAAAATCGAACTTAATCCGTTCCAGGAGCTAGTTCTAAATTCAAAAGTCTGAAATTCGAAGCAATATTTCCCATAAGAAATAATGGAAATGCAATTAATCTGTTCCAGAAACCCATAAATATTCACACAAAAAATACATTTCATAGAGATTAATTACAGTTTTACATACAACAAATACTATAGTTTTTAATTATGTGTAGTAATACATATAAAATAACATTTTTACTTACCTTTATTGAAGATTGGTGATGGCATCTGGAAGATAGGGAGGAGGAGAGAGGGAGTTGGGGTTAGTGTTTGGAAGGAGAATCCCCCTCCATGAGGACTTCAGGTAAAGCCCTCTCTGGGGTTACTTCCCTTCTCTGTCTTTTAATGCCACTAGGACCAGCTTGAGAGTCACTGGACCCCTGTCTCACAAAATAACTGTCCACAGTCCTCTGTTTCTGGCGCCTCTTTGACATTTCCCTAAAATGGGACATGGTTCTGTCACTGAACTTGTTGCAAAGATGGCTTGTTTCAGCTTGCTCAGGGTGGTACTTCTGCACAAACATTTGGACATCATTCCACTTGACACAAATCTCCTTAATCTTTGAAGAAGGCACCTCATCCACTCCCTCTTCCTCCTCAGCTGTGGTCTGATACTGCTCCAGATGGAAGCTCTTGCAACTCTTCAGTGGTTAGCTCTTCCCTGTGGTCCTCCACCAGCTCTTCACATCCTCACCACTCTCCTCCAACCCCAGGGTGTTCCCCAATATCACAATAGAGTCCACAGTAGGCAGAGGGTGAACTGGGTCAGGGTCAGGGTCACCCTCAAACCCTTCAAAATCCCTCTTTTGGACACAATCTGGCCACAATTGTCTCCAAGCAGAGTTCAAAGTCCTGGAAGTCACTCCCTCCCAAGCCTTACCTATAAGGCTTATGGAGCTGCAGATGTTGAAGTGATTCCTCCAGAACTCTCTTAGGGTCAACTTAGTGTCTGTGGCCACTTCAAAGCACTTTTCAAACACTGCTTTTGTGTAGAGTTTTTTGAAGTTAGAAATGACCTGCTGGTCCATGGGCTGGAGAGGAGTGGTGTTAGGAGGCAAGAACTTCACTTTTATAAAACTGAAGTCCTTAGACAAGAGGTCTAATAAGTTTGGAGGATGAGCAGGAGCATTGTCCATTAACAGGAGGCACTTGAGTGGCAATTTCTTTTCCTGGAGGTATTTTTTCACACTGGGGCCAAACACTTCATGGACCCACTCTTTGAAAATTTGTCTTGTGACCCATGCCTTATGATTAGCTTTCCACAAGACACATAACTTGTTCTTAAAGACATGGTTTTTCTTAAACACTCTGGGATTTTCTGAATGATACACAAGTAAAGGCTTCACTTTAAAATCACCACTAGCATTAGCACAGAACAAAAGAGTAAGCCTGTCTTTCATAGGCTTGTGTCCTGGCAGTGCCTTTTCCTCCTGTGTGATGAAGGTCCTTTTTGGCATTTTCTTCCAAAACAAGCCTGTTTCGTCATAATTAAACACTTGTTCAGGTTTGAATTCTTCACTGTCTATGTACCCCTTAAACTCCTGTACAAACTTCTCAGCTGCCCATTTGTCTGAACTGGCTGCCTCACCATGTCTTACAACATTGTGTATGCCACTATGCTTCTTAAATCTGTCAAACCAGCCTCTGCTGGCCTTAAATTCACTATCAGCACTGGTTCCAGGAGTTTTCTGTGCCAGATCGGCATGCAACTTCCTTGCCTTTTCGCAAATAATCGTCTCTGAAACACTATCACCTGCAATCTCTTTATCCTTGATCCACACCAGCAACAACTTCTCAACCTCTTCAACTATTTGTGGTCTTTTTTTGGTTAGCATATTAACACCTTTCGCAACATCAGCTTCCTTGATTTGTTCTTTCTTTGACAGGATAGAAGCGATGGTTGCCTTGTTTTCCCATACATCCTGGGAAGCTCAGCAAGTTTCACACCACTCATATTATTTCCTTCTTCAAATCTATGGTGTTTCTCACTTTCTTTACCACAGGGGTACCACTAGCAAGTTTCTTTGGGCCCATGGCAGCTTATTTCACAGTCCCACAAGCACTAAACACAACGAAATAATCGTAAAATGCGTGAATGAGAGTGCAGGTTAGTGTTCACTCAAGCATAAACAAAGCTAGACTGCTCACGGCGCCTGCACGGGGACGCGGACAGAGCGGGCGGCAGACAGGTCCCATACCCAGCGGTCCAAAAATAGGGGCGCATTCGATAATAGGGACTCTGTCCAAAAAAATGGTCCTATTTTCGAAAATTTCAGTATGTAATACGTTCGATTTTTGAGGTTCCACTGTACATGTATACATATGCCCAATGTTTGTATAGTACAGTGGACCCCCCAGTTCGCGAAGCCATCGGTATCCAATAAATCCGGTATCCGAAGCATATCGCAAAAAATTTACCTCGGTTCCTGATACAAAATCCGGTATACGATATGATTCGTCCGAGACGTGTCCAGTGTTTACAAGCCAGCCAGTGTGCACGCATCTAAGGATACATTCGGTACATTCCATATTATCCATATTATCACTGTTTTTGGTGCTTGTTTCTGCAAAATAAGTCACCATGGGCCCCAAGAAAGCTTCTAGTGCCAACCCATCGAGACCAAGGGTGCTAATGACTATTGAAATTAAGGAAATAAACAAGAACGAGAACTAGTAAGAAAATAGAAAACCCAGAGGGGTGTGTATATTCTTTCTTTCAACAAACCAGCCGTATCCCACCAAGGCAGGGTGGCCCAAAAAGAAAAACGAAAGTTTCTCTTTTTAAATTTAGTAATTTATACGGGAGAAGGGGTTACTAGCCCCTTGCTCCCGGCATTTTAGTCGCCTCTTACAACACGCATGGCTTACGGAGGAAGAATTCTGTTTCACTTCCCCATGGAGATAAGAGGAAATAAACAAGAACAAGAACTAGTAAGGAAATAGAAAACCCAGAGGGGTGTGTATATATATACATATATATATGCTTGCCTATTCATGTGCAGTGTGACCTAAGTATAAGTAGAAGTGGCAAGAAGTACCTGAAACCTTGCATGTTTATGAGACAAAAAATTCACCAGCAATCCTACCAACATGTAAAACAATTATAAGTTTCCACTTTACACTCACTTGGCAGGGTGGTAGTGCCTCCCTAGATAGTTGCTGTCTACCACCCTACTACCTAGCCAATCAGTACTGTACCTTAAAAATAAATACTGTATTATATGGTGCCATTTAAACACTGGTGAATTATGTCTGCATGTTAAGACTTGGAATGATGCTTTGGGAATTAAACAAAAGTAAATATAGTACAGCATACATATTATATCCTAGGTAGTAGGTTGGTAGACAGCAACTGCCCAGGGAGGTACTACCGTCCTGCCAAGTGAATGTAAAACTGAAGCCTGTAACTGTTTTACACGATGGTAGGATTGCTGGTGTCTTTTTTTTTTCTGTCTCATACACATGCAAGATTTCAGGTACGTCTTGCTACTTCTACTTACACTTAGGTCACACTACACATACATGTACAAGCATATATATACACACCCCTTTGGGTTTTCTTCTATTTTCTTTCTAGTTCTTCTTGTTTATTTCCTCTTACCTCCATGGGGAAGTGGAACAGAATTCTTCCTCCGTAAGCCATGCGTGTTGTAAGAGGCGACTAAAATGCCGGGAGCAAGGGGCTAGTAACCTCTTCTCCTGTATATATTACTAAATGCAAAAGGAGAAACTTTCGTTTTTCCTTTTGGGCCACCCCTCCTCGGTGGGATACAGCCGGTGTGTTGAAAGAAAGAAGATACATATTATATAATTTTCCTCATATTTTCAATGATGATACAAGTATGGGAAGGAAGCAAGGGAGGGAGGGAGGTACTTGTATGCAAACACTGCAACAGCAGCAGCTAAGCCTCATACATGTCCTTGCTTATTTATCACAAAATAAAAATTTAACAACCATATTGATGTACAATGTATATACAGCAGTTGTTTTTTTTAAAACACAATGACCATCTCCCACCCAGATAGGGTGACCCAAAAAAGAAGAAACACTTTGACCATTACTTACTCCATCACCATCTTGCTAGAGAGGTGCCGATACTACAGTTCAAAACTGCGAATATCCCCTCCAGTCACAGTACAGTACCAATATTATATCCAGTTTCATCTCATCTAATTCCTTCCATAAAAGGAGGGAAGCAGAGGATATACAAATATTGCTTGCCTCACCACTCAAACAGGAAACAGCTGCTTTACTCTCAGCCAACTCTGCACTTTCACAACTAGTGATTTCAACACTTCAAGTGTTACCCCTGAGTAAATGTCCAAATATGTAAATTGCACTGTAGTGTTTATTATAACTGTATGGTTGCATTACTAATGTTAATTGAAAAATTAAATTACCAGTATGGGAATATGACATGGCCACCAGCAGGGCCCTTCTAATATGGCCACAACCAGATACAGTGACTCCCAAGATGATAAGCAATTTGTATATAAACATTATCCCAAGTATCCTCACATTTTAGCACTGATGATGCAAAGAATATGAGAACACATGCATGGACTGCTATGCAGGAAACAACTAA